CCACAGACCTTCACTCCGTTCCTGCCAGGAGGGCAAAGAGCCAGGGGCTGGGCTGGGCTGCGGCCTCTGGCCTCCATGCCCTCCTGAGACAAGAGGCTGGCAGAGCGGGAGGGGAAGATAAGGGCGGGGGAGGGCAGGAGGGGGAGGGGCAGGAGGGGAAGGGTGGGTGGGGGGCGGGAGTGGCCACCACACCTGAAGTCCAGGGGTTCCTCTCGGAGGGAGACCCTGCACTGCGGTCACACCAGGAGCCAGGAGCACACCAGGCCAACCCAGGGATAAGGACCACGTGCCCAGGAGGCCCCAGGGGGGGAGACAGGGCTTTTCCACGTCAGACCCCACCCAGAAAGGGGAGTGACACGGGTGGGCGCAAGGTGGCATGGTCGGACCTGGAGGGTGCAGGGTAACGGCACCTCAGGAAGTGGGGACCCCGGCCGGCAAAGCTGCTCCCCTGGAACGGAGCTGCGGGGTCCACCCTGCCCCCCAGGAGCCACACAGTGTGAGCGGAGCTGGCCCTCTGCGGGGCCACCTTTCAGCTCCCCCGTGCTGGGGATAGAGAAGGGTTCAGGCCCCCAAGCTGCCCGCCCTGACGGCAGGCTTGTCCAGCTGCTCTGGGCTGAGCGCCCCGGGCTGCTGCACGGCCGGCGGGGGCTGAAAACAGCCTCTGGGGGCCCGAAGTCCGGGCTCCAGGTGTGGGCAGGCAGCTCCCTCCGGAGGTTCTGGGGGGGCTCCTTCCAGCCTCTCCCAGCTTCTGGTGGCCTCAGATGTCCCTGGCTCTGGCCGCATGACCCTAATCTCTGCCTGAGTCCAAGCTCCCCTCTTCTGATGAGGACCCCAGTGACACGGGGGTCGGGCCCACCCTAACCCAGCATGGCCTCATCTTACCTCGACTCCATCTGCCAAGACCCTCCTTCCAAATCAGGTCACTTTCATCGGTTCCCAGTGGCCACGATTCGAGGGAACACTGCTCAACTTCCCAGTATCCCCAAAGCTTCTGCTCCACTTACAGCCCCCCGCCCCAGGATGCTGCCCTCGCTGGTCCTTCCCGCTCAGGATTGTCCCCCCTCCCCGAGGCTCTGCTGGGGGTCAGCTCGCCCTGCTGGGCAGTCAGACGGCACCCCAGCCCTGTGGGGTGGAAACCCAAGGAGGGCGACGGGGTGGAGGCAGAAGCGGGGAGGGGGCTTCCCAGGCCAGAAGGCTTCTCTGGGGAGGGGACACCAGAGCAGAGCCCGAGGGCCACCAGCTGCCACCAGCGAGGGCAGAAGCTTGAGCTGGAGACACGGGGACAGAGAAAGGACCTGTGGCTGATGGAGGCCAGCAGCAGAGGACGGGGGGCGAGGGAGGGGGACAGGCACCTCCCCGTGTGACGAGGGTCACTATGAACCTGGGAGGGGAGGACTGTCCAGGAGACAAGTGGTGGCTGGGATGGGGCCACTGTCTCTGTCCAGCCCCTCCCGCAGCTGCCCCTTGGCTTTGGGCTCCTGGGGTGGGGGAGGGAGGCCCTGCAGCCCTTGGCCGTGGCCTGCTGACGGCTGGCAGCCCCGGCCATGGACGCCCAGCACTCTGCAGGGTGAGGAGATGCCATGAGGAGCCCTGGGTGCCCGGGTTCCTGTACCGGTGGGTGAGCCCTGCACACCAGCTCTGCTGCCCCACGAGCCTCCAACGTTGCCCAGGCAACTGCCTCCATCCAGCCTGTCTGCCTGGCGTTCACACGCCCACGAGCCGCCGCTGGGCTCCAGGCGGGCTCGCGCAGGCAGGTGTGGCTGAGCCTCTGCAGGCCGGGCTCTGCGGAGGAGACGGCCCAGTCCTCGGGGCCATCCTCGCCCAGCCAAGGGCACGGGCCGGGCACCGTGAGTGGGCACTGCGCTGTCCCGACACCTCTGCGCTGAGAGCACGCGCCTGGTGGCCGCCGGTTTCGCTGGGAAATTGGAAGGGGCTGGGCCTGTCGCCCAAGCCTTAACCCCACCTGATGGCAGAACCAACCCCCCAAAATCAAAGGAGGGTGAGGGGATGCAAAGTGGGGCTTGGACCACCCCAGCTGGCTCTGGCCAGGCCCCTGGGGCATCAGCGGCAAACCCGTCCCACCCCATGGCAGCCAGGAACCATTCACACCCTGGCTCTGAGGACACCAGGAGCCCAAACACCTCTTCCTCAGTGGGAGGGATGCGGACATCACCCCGATTCTGCACAGGGCGCCTTGGAGGGCAGGGGGTCTGGTTCATCGTCTGCCTGCATCTGAAAGGTGGACGAGGCCAGAGCACACAGTGAGGGCCAGCTCCGGTCCCCAGGCTGGGCCGACCCCCTGAGCACTTTCTGCGGGGGGCAGGGCACCTCTCACGGACACTGACATGTCCTCTGTAGACGCGAATTCGGGCTGTAGGAACGTGTTTCCGCAGTGGAGGCCACAGTCCCAACCAGACACGACTTTCCACGCACGCTCCACGGCCGTCACTGCGGCCGACGGCTCAGCAGACGAGAGGCTTCCAGTCCAGTTCAACCTGTAACCTCCTCCGGCCCAGGGGCCGCGGGCTCCCTGATGACACTGGCATCGCCGGGTGAGGGGGGCTGTCAGGGTGTGCGCTCCCATTCCACCTCCAGAAGGTCCCCGTGAGGCCTGGGGCAGGGGTGGCAGCTGTCGGAAAGCAGGGGAGGGGGGGCCTTCCTGATGAACTCGGCACCTGCCGTGCCCGGCTCAGGGTGGCCCCAGCTCTGTTCTCCGAGGAAGTGTCCCAGGCTGTAGGTCCCAGTGGTAATGGGGTGTGTGTGTGTGTTAATCCCCAGCAGCCGGATGAAACCAGAGAGGAGAAGCCCCAGGGTGACTTTTACAAGCTGCTCTGGCCTCGCCCTCCCCAGAGCACCAGGCGCCCAGGGGCCTCTGTTCCACTGGTGGGTGCAGCCTGGCCTGGGGTCTTGGTCCCCTCTCCTGGTAGCTAAAGGCTGGAGCCAGGCTCAACCAGGCCCTGACAGCCCCCGGGCCTGTACCCCGGGGGGCACCTGCCCTCCTACCAGCCCAGCGTTCTGGGTCCATTTGAGACCCCTCCCCACTCCTGTCTTGCTCTTCCCTTAAGGGGACAGGCCATGTGAGGTCTGTAGAGAAAGGGGCCCGAAGGGGCCGCAGGGGCCTGGAGGGTTGGGACACTGAAGCGCTCCATTCCGGCCCTGTTCAGGGGCTGCAGCTCCTCACCCAGATGTCCCCACAGCTTCCCGGCACAGCCCGAGAGTGGGGCACACTGACCGCCTGGCCTGGCAGGGCCTCCCCCTGCCTCGGGACGGCCTGGCGCTGTTCCTCCTGGAAGTGCCCACGGCTGGCCTGCACAAGTGCGCTGACACTTCCAGGAAAGACTCTGGAGCCAGGGCCAGCCAGGACCCGGCAGGGAAGCCGGCACAGCTGTCTGGGAGTCCGGGGTCAGCTGGCACCTGCCACGTGGAGGAGCTGGGAGCCCCACAGGTCACCGTCCAGGCCCCGAGACCCGGCGGCACTTCTGCTGGTTCTCACGCTGGGGGCTGCCCACTGGCATTTGGGAGGCTCTGGGCGAGGCCCCCATCTCGTGTCCCAGGGTCTCCAGCTCTGGACAGACGGGCCCCTGGTGCAGACAGGTGCTCAGGGAACATTTGGTGACCGGCCGGCCCCACTCTGCGCTGGCAGCTGGATGGAGGCTGACCTGTGTCACAGGAGGATGACTGCTCACTTGAGTGGCCTGCCCTCAGGGCTGGGGGCCTTGGGCTGGGGGCGCCCAAACTTGGGGCTTGGAGGAGGTGGGATTGTGATGTGAGAAGGGCTGAGGTGAGGAGGCAGAAACAGCGTTGTGGGAGCCCCTGCAGAAGTGGGTGCAGAGCCCCAAAGCTGGGCTGGGGACAGCAGAAACGACCGAGTCCCAGCCCCCCGAGTGACATCTGCTTGTGTCCGTGTCCGCAGGGAGCAGCTGCCGGTCCCCAGCCCCCTGAACGTCCTGGCCCTGCGGCGTGTCCCAGGGCCCCTCCGGCTCACGGGCAGAGGCTGCGGCGAGGTCAGGAGGGCCTCTGCTGCCACCAAGTGGCCATCTGGGTGCTGGGTGACAGACCTGTGGCCCGGGCGATCAGGGAAGCCCCCTCGCAGGCCCTCCACCCCCGGGCCCCACCCAGGCCCAGGACCCGGGCTGGCCACCTGGACTTTGTCCTCCACTTCAGTTTTTCTTAATTAAGGAAACCAAGCTCCCCCCTTTTGCAAGGACACACGATGGTCCCGGGAAGGCCAGCGGGGTCTGCAGAGGGGGCTCTGAGGCTCGGCTGTCCGGCAGCTGCGGGGGCTCTGACCGAGGGGATGGGGTGGGGGCCGGCGTGACTTCCCGCCCGGTTCCTCCTCCTCCTCGGCCTCTGCAGCAGCGGGTCTGCGACGGCAGCGGCGGGAGGGGCCTCCCCACCCCCACCCCACCCCCACCCCACCCCCCACGCCCGCTGGAAAGTGGCTCCCGGAGGAGATGCCTCCCCGCTGAGCCCCCCTCGGTGGCGGAGGAAGGAACCCTGGCCTCGGTCTGCCCAAAGGTTGGCGTCAGGACACCTGCTCGGGGTGTCACAAGGGGTCACCTCCTGGCCTGCGAGCAGGTCCCCCAGGGGCGGGATCCAGCGCGCAGGTGGGGAAGGTCGGGTCAGGCTGGGGCAGGGGTGGGGTCCCCTGCGCACGTCCTGCTGGGGTCCGGCCGGCCCGGGGCCGTTGCCCGACGGGGGCGGGGCGGGGCCAGCGTCGGGGGCGGGGTCAGCGCCGGAGGCGGGGCCAGTGCCGGGGGCGGGGTCCGTGTCGGGGCGGGGTCAGCGCCGGAGGCAGGGCCAGTGCCGGGGGGCGGGGTCAGCGTCGGGGCGGGGTCAGCGCCGGAGGCAGGGCCAGTGCCGGGGGCGGGGTCAGCGTCGGGGCGGGGTCAGCGCCGGAGGCAGGGCCAGTGCCGGGGGCGGGGTCAGCGTCGGGGGCGGGGTCAGCGTCGGGGGCGGGGTCCCGGTGGTTCGGCGGCTCACTTCCGCCGGACGCAGGCGTTCGGGCGGATGGAGCCGGCACACAGGCCTCGGCTTCGGCTGAGCCGCCGGAGGCCGCCCTTCGAGGGCAGGTGAGGCAGTGGCCTGGGGCCTCGGGGTGGGGGCGGGGAGCGGGGGTGCGGCCCAGGGTACCTCCCGGCCGAGCCGTGGCGGGGGCCCCTCCCCGCGGAGCGCCCCACCCCCGCTCCGGTCCCGCGTGCCCGGCCGGGGCCTCCTTGAGCCCCCTCCCCCCTGACTGCGCCCGGGCTGGGTCCCGGGTCCGCTGACACCCCTCCGCCCGGGCCGCCGCAGGCCCCCGAGCCCCGGCCGCGGGTCCAGCCGGGACGGCGACGGCGAGTGCGCGCGGCTGTGGGCCGAGCTGCTGCGCGCGGCGAGCGCGGACCTGAGCGCGGACGGGGAGCCGCCGCCGCTGCCCGCCGCCGGCCAGGTGTGTGCCTGCACCCACGGGCGGGGCCTCCGGCCGGGGCGCCGCCGCCGCCGCTGACGCCGCCCGTGTCGCAGGAGCCCAGGCACGGACCCCAGCGCGCCGCGTCCCCCGAGGTCTTCACCGTGGGGTCCGAGACCTTTTCCTGGACGCCCTTCCCGCCGGCCCTGAGCGGAGCAGAGGGCCCGGGCCGCTCCTGCCGGGGGCTCCGCGGGGCCGCCGGGCCCCCGGGGTCCCCCGCCCGCTCCCCGCAAGGACGCACCGCGCCGGAGCCCCGCGAGGTGCCCACCGTCCAGGAGCAGCGGGCGGCGGGCGGGGCGCCGACCCTGCAGAGCTGCCCCATGTGCCAGGCTGACTTCGCGCCCGGGTGAGTGCACCTGCCCCGGCCCTGCCCCTCCACCGCCCCTGGCCCCGCCCCTCCACCGCCCCGCCGGGGCTCGCGTGGCCTTTCGAAGTGACTTCTCATGCCCGCAAAGTTGGCCAAGGCAGTGCCTATCTGTGGACAGTAGCCAGAGGGCACAAGGCTGTTTGGGGATCCACCTGCTGGTCCACTGACCCGGGGCCCTGACGGCAGACAGGCTGCATCTGGCCACAACCTGCAGACTCTACAGGGTTCAGAGCCTCTTCCCTGCTTCACCCAGCGGCCCGCCCTCGGGACCTGGGGGCCGGGCCAGGCTGTGGTCACTGAGGGATTTCCTGCTTGGCCCCACCTGTGGGTTGCAGGTTTGAAACACGAAGAAAGACTGCCTTGCCCTGGCCTCAGTGGCTCAGTAGCTGGTGTCAGCCCCAGCACCGGAGGGTCTCGGGTTCAATTCCTGGTCAAGGGCATATAACTAGGTTGCAGGTTCCATCCCTGGCCCCCGAGGGGCTCATGCCTGAGGCAACCGATCGCTGTCTCTCTCTGTTGATGTCTGTCTCTCCCCCTTCCCTCTTTCCTTCTACTCTCTCTAAAAAAAAAAATCAACGGAAGAAAATATCCTTAGGTGAGGATTAATAACAAAAAAAATGAAGACTGTTGTGTGTCTACAGGTGTTCTTTCTATTAGAAGAAACCTAATACGTATTGTTAAGCCGCATTTTAAGTAGGGAGATGGAATCCGACTGCTGAGAGGTTCAAGTCGAACCACCCGTGTGGGCCAGGGATCACATGGCCCAGGACACAGCTCTGGGCTGGTGGGGTCAGGATGGTGACAGGGACCTTGGGGAGGATCTTGGTCAGGTTTCAGAACTGGACCTGTTCCAGGTGCAATGTGGCTAGGAGACCCTGCACTTCGGGGGCAACACAGCCCCGGGGGTGAGGGGGTTGGTTCCAGACTCAGCAGCTGATGTTTCAGACGCACGGAGCAACCCTGCACAGGGACCTGCAGGCGTGTTCTCTTTCTCTCTTTCTAAGATGTTTTCATTGATTTTTAGAGAGACAGGAAAGGAGAAGGAGAAAGAGAAATACCCATGTGAGAGAAAAATACTGATGTGAGAAACATTGATCTGCTGCCTCCTGCACGCCTCCTTCTGGGGATGGAGCTGGCAACCTGGGCCTGTGCCCTGACTGGGAATGGAGCCGGAGCCGGGACCTCAGTCCATGGGACGGTGCTCAACCCACTGAGCCACACCGGCCAGGCGGACACGATTCCACATTCATAGATGAAACCCCTGTCGAAAGTCAGAGTCCAGGCTTCTCTGGTCTGACGTCTTACCGGAACCAAGCCTTTGAGAGCCTGGTGTCGGGGTGAGCCCAGATGGCACCCCATCAGCAACCCCTCCAGGCAGCACCCAGATGAGAGGGGGCTGGTTTGGGTGAGGCCGTGGCTGTCTTCAGGTGGGGCCTGTGTGCCGGGTGGAGCCCCCACGGGTCCATATCGGGCTAGGCGGGAGGGATGGTGAAGTGGCCCACGGGAGGTGCCCTGGTAGCGCCCAGCGGAGAATTAGCAGGACATTTCCAGATCAATTTCGGATGACGCAGTGACTGTGAGGTCTCCTCGGCTCACACCCCTCAGCAGCAGCCCGGGTGCGGAGGACGCGCTCGGAAGGCCCGGTGGGAAATCCCTCTTTTTGGCAGGAGCCCTCGAGGTCACTGGTCCCACTCTGGGGGCTTTGTCTCTGGGCCACTTGCATGTCTGCACAGTCCGACGCTGGAGGGGAAACTCCAGTGTTGAGCTAGAAGCACGTCAATGAGCATTGGCAGGTGCCTGCATTTTCCCAAAGTGGGTGTCCTTTGGGTCAGGTCTCGGCGTGTCTGGAATGACTGTAGCATGTCCTTCCATCTGACTGTAAAGGGGGGAGGGAGAAAGCTCGGGCTGGATCACACCCCGAGGCTGCAGCCACCACTGGGGAGATGGCAGGAACCCTCGTCTCGGAAACAAGGCCCCTCCCCGCCGCAAGCGGTTACTTTGGGGCCCTGGGGCAAGGAGACAGGCCGGGCCACCGGAGGGTCCGGTGCAGCAGTTGGACATAGGGCTGCACTGTCCTGTTGCCTCGGGACCAGTCCTAGAAACCGCGCGGGCAGTGGTTCTCGGAGCTGTGTCTCCACTCCGGCGAGCGAGGGACCTGGCGGCTCGTCTGCTTTCCTCCGAGCCTCAGCGTTTCCCAGGCCGCTCAGAAGCCGTTCTCTTTGAGGTGATGGACTCAGCCAACCGTGTGAGAGGTGCTGTCCCCTTGCTGCCGAAGTCCGACATTCCCTGGGTTTCGTGAGGCCCACCAGCGACGTGGGCCGATGGGAAGGTCGGCTCCCCCAGGCCAGCCGACGTGAAGGACCCGAGCTGTGTGTCCCCATTTGTGGGGCTGTAGCAGCTGAAGGCCCCTCTGGCTGCGGGGTGCCCACCGGCTCTAGCCCTGTTTGTGCTCAGAAGCTGCTGGGCGTCGCCTGAGGCCCCCCACGCCCAAGCTGTGCCAGCCGGCCGTCCCGCGCACCGCGTCGGAGGTGCTGTGAGGCAGGCTGCCCTGACCCAAGCTGAGGGCGGACCCAGCGAGATGAAGCGGTCACTGGAGGAGGGGGTCTGGAGGAGCCCTAGAGGCTGCCCCACCTGAGGGACCCCACCTGGAAGCCTCTGGACAGGACGCCCAGGTCCAGACCTTAGCATCTCGGCCACCTTGCAGACAGCGTGTGGGGGCTGGTTCTGAGAGGCTGGGTGGCCCCAGCGACTTCAGAACGTAAGGGCCGGGGTCTGCAGGTACTGAGAAGGCTGCCAGAGGCCACCAGGACTGGCTTGGCCTTGGAGAGCTGCAGGGGGGTGGCTGTGGGGCCAGGTCTGGGGAGAGGCTGGTGCCCTTCCTGGTGGTCCGTAGCCCTAGGCCGAGCTCACAGCCAAAGGAGGTCGCTCTAGGTTCTAGGCTCAGCGCTGCGGCTCTGGCTTCGGGGATGGGCCTTCCGTTGCGGCTGGTGAACTTGTTGATCGTGGTCCCAGTAAACCACGTGTCTGGCCACAGCCCCTGGCACCTCCGGGAGCTGCGGGGCTCCTGGCACCTCACCAGCCTCCGGAGGGGCCTGAGGTGGCCTCTCCCTCCGCCCGGCTGCTGGAAGGGCCCCGGGGCCCGATGGAGAAAGCTGTTGGGCCTCATTCCTGCCAGCTACCTTTGCCGACAGGTCGGCTCTCGGGCTTGGCTTCCAGCGGTTCCCCAGGACGTGTGACGTTGTCACGCTGAGGGGGCGCCGGTCACTGGCGGCTCATTTGGGCCAGGGCGCCCCAGCCTCAGACACAGGAGCCTGAGAATGCGTGTCCCACACGGGGTCCTGGTGTCCCGTGTCCAGGGCACACTCAAAGCCTCTGACCCAAGAACAGGATGTGGAAAGCCTTTCCTGGTGGGTGTGGCCCCTCCGCCCAGGCCCCCCCATCGCTGACTGGCCTGGAGAGGGGCAGGGTTTCTCTGGCCAGTCCTGGGGAAGGGTGTGAGCGCCAGGTGCCCCTCCGTGGGGCAGCGCCTCCCTCCCCGGGTCACCGTCTCCCCTGTTCCTTGCAGGCTGGCCCAGCTGGACATCGACAGCCACCTCGCCCAGTGCCTTGCGGGCAGCACGGAGGATGTGGTGTGGTAAGCCGTCAGCCGTCCTCGCCAGGACCAGCGCCCTGCGTGCCCACGTGACGCCAGCGCACATTGAAACGTGTCCTTGCGCCTGGCAGGCGTGGCTCCGTGGCTGAGGTCGACCCAGCACCATGAGGTCACGGGTTCGATTCCCGGTCAAGGCACATGCCAGGTTGTGGGCCTGATCCCCAGTGGGGGGCATGCAGGAGGCGGACAGTCGATGTTCTCTCATTGATGTTTCTGTCTCTCTCCCTAAAATCAATAAAGAAAAAAAAGATTTCTCTTAAAAAAAAAAAAATCATGTCACTGACCTGTCGTAGCTCCTGTTGGGACCAGATCACTGGCTCCTTTTTCCGTCTTGGCCTCTGCTTGGCACTGACCGGCCCCGGCCTGGCCCCCTTGGCAGATGGGCCTGGGCTGGTGCACGGCCCTTTCCGCCGGGGGAGTGGGTGTCTACCAGGCTCCCCCTGCCCTCAGGTGCCGGGCCCACTCTGCGGCTCACAGCTTCAGCTCCAGGTGCACACGGCCCTCCTGCAGCTGCAGCTGCTCAGACAGTCCTTTTGGTGCCTGGGGCCCCGCCATCTGCCCCCAGGGGAGTCAGGGCAGCTTCCCCTTGAACAGATTTAAGGGGGGTGTGTCCAGCGCCATGGGCAGCGGGCAGGCCCGGCAGCCACAACCTTTCAGGGTGGGGCTGGTGTCCCTGGTCTGACAGGTTCCAGATCAGGTTCTGGCACCGGCTCAGGAGCTGGTCGCTGCGGAGCTCTGGTGGCCGGTGGGGTCTGATGTGAAACCCAAGATGACAGGTCCCTGTTTTCCTTTCAAAAATGGCCCACAGCCGCCATGGGGACCCACGGAGGGAATGTTGGTGCAGGTCACTCAGTGAGAGGCCAACCTGAAGGGGCCACAGCCTGTGTGATTCCCACTACGTGAGGTTTGGAGAAGGTGGAGTGAGAGAGACCCGGGTCGTCGGTTCGGGGGAGGGGCAGGTGGAGCCCGACGTTTAGGGAAGTGAGACGTCTCCCTGTCACCTGGAATGGTGGACACGTGTCAGCAGACACCTTGTCCACACCCACAGGATGTAAATGGGGACCCTGGGAGATGACGTGTCAGTTGGGGGACACTGGCTTCGGGGGCGGCCGTGCGTGGGCAAGGGGCAGATGGGAAATCTCTGCACCTGCCCCTCAATTTTTTTTCTTTTCTTTTTAATCCTCCCTGGAGGACATTTTTGCATTTATCTTCAGATAGAGCGGGACGGAGAGAGAGAGACATTGACTGGTTGCACCCACACGACCCCAACCAGGGCTGGGGATGAACTGCAACCGAGGTACATGCCGTTAGTGGGAGCCGAACCCAGGTCTCTGTGGTCTGCAGGCTGACGCTCTAACCACACAGCCAAACCGGCCAGGGCTCAATTATTTTTTAAATATTTTTTTCCTATATTGATTTTAGAGGGAGAGGAAAGGAGAGGGAGAGAGAAAAACATCGATGAGAGAGAACATGGACTGGCCGCCTCCTGCACGCCCCCCACTGGGGATCGGGCCCACAACCTGGGCATGTGCCCTGACCGGGAATCGAACTGGCGACGTCTTGGTGCTGGGTCGATGGTCAACCATGTAGCTACACGGGCCTCTCAATTTTGCTGTGAACCTAAAACTGCTGTCAATAAAATCTTTTTTTTTAAAAAAAAAGGCTTCAAAAATCTCTGCTTCCTGGAAACATCTACTTCTACAGAAAGTAACAACCGTAAGCGTTTTTGCGAAGGTATTTGACAGACGGCAAGTATGCAGTGGCCTTGGCCAAGGGGGGTGAGCACTGTCCACGGGACAGCCGGCAGCCATGGCCCTGCCACACGGCGCGGCGACCGGGGCTGCCGGCACGTGGGATTCCAAACCCCGGCCGACGTTCTCCACCTTCTCGACCTGACGAAGGAAACGGCCCCGCACTGAGGCGGCGTCACACAGGTGCGTGCACATCAGCCGAGCTGGCCCACGGGGACCTGCCTGCAACACCTCGCACCGAAACAGCTCCGGGGCTGTGCCGCTGGAGGGAAGCCGCCTGGCCCCAGCGCAGCCGAGGCCCCCGGAGGGAGGGCGCTCCAGGCCAGGGCTCTGCTGCTGGGTGTCTGTCGGTGGTGACCCCCGTGAGGCCCAGTCGGCGCTCGGCCCCGCCCTGTGCGCCCTGGTCTTGGCCTCTGCAGTCATGTCTTCCTGGTGACACTGGGTCTGGTTGACACAAGTCTCCGTGATCCATAAAAGCTGCTCTGAGACCCAGGGCCTAGGTTCCTGTCCCGGCGCCTGGGGCCCTGGAAACCGTGTGGAGCACTGGGCTTGGGGCTGCGCTGGGCCCGGCACAGCTGAGCTCCCTGGCACAGACTTCCTTGTTTTCTCTGTTCTGGCCATAATCTCTGGCCCCAAACCGCCAGCCACAGGGGAGAGGCCGAGCCCGCCCACCACGGGGCGCGAGGGTGTGTGGATGCAGGACTGTGTACGAGGGTGGACGATGGACCCTCTGCCCGGCTCGCATCCCAGCTGATGTGTTAGGGACTTAAAAACCCAGGTGGCCCTGGCCAGTTTGGCTTAGCGACTGGAGTGTCTGCCCATGGACCGAGGGTCGTGGGTCCGATTCCCGGCCGAGGGGCACGTACCTGGCTTGTAGGTTTGATCCCTGACCCTGGTCGTGAAGGGGGCAGCCAATCAACATGTCTCTCTCACATCCATGTTTCTCCCTCCTCCTCTCTCAAAGTCAATGACGTGGGTGAGGACCGACAAGGAAAACAAAAGGCAGGTGATTCATCTCTTTCCAGAAAACCTCGTTTGGCTTCCCAAGCTGTCCCTTCACCTACGGAGGGTGCGTGGGCACGCGGTGTGTCTGCAGGCGCCCGGCTGGCTTCACTGGAAGCCTGGGGCCCGTCACACACGTGTCCCCAATCTCCTAACTCTGGGCATCACGGTGACCGATGAAAACACTTCCCCCAGATCGGATACGAACACAAGACATCACGGAGACACGGCCTAGTGTTTTCAGAAATATATTTTGAGCAGATTTAGTTTTCAACATCCTTCCTTTTTTTGGTCTACTGGTGCTTTGCTGAGCAACACGTCAGAACCCCGCCACCCGATCTCCCCGGCCTGTGCCACGGCGGCCACGGCGAGGGGCATGGCGCGGCGCGACTGCACGGCTACTTACATGCTCAGTGTGAAAATATTGTTAAATGTTAACAACGGGAACTTACCGGGACTTAGAAAATGGTAGAAACTCCGCGGCAGGCACTTGGACGCCCGTCCCCGCCCACGGCAGGCGCAGCGCCACGCTCCCCGCGACGCCAGCCGTGCCCCCGCGGAAAGAAGGCAGCCAGGGGAGCCTCGACACCGTCGGTACATTTTATTCCTCAGGACGTTACAGGAAGTCCCGGTGGAGCAGGCGGCCTGTCTCTGTGGAGTGTGCACCTTCGCTCGTGGGCCTGGGCGTCCCTCGGACGCGGTCACCGCGGGGCCTCGGCGATGCAGGCACAAGCAGCGAGTCCTCCAGCACGCAGCCGCGGGCGGCCGACGCGACTGTTCTGCCCGAGAGGCGCCGGCCTCGGCGGCAGCGTCCCTCCCCGGCATGCATGCGCTGTGGTGAAGGAGTGGGGGTCATTCACGGACGTGTCCACGGCACAGGACGCCTCACACGGACTCCTCGGTGGAGAGCAGTAACGGGTTGATGTACTCGAACCCTTCGAACTCGGACTGGTCGATCCTCTTGATGACGTCCCTGTGGGCAGGCACAGGTCCCGCTGCAGGCGCTGCCCTCCTGCCCCTCCCGCAGGCCCAGCCCGACAGGTGTCCTGCACAGCCCCGGCTTACTCATCGTCGGGGGTCAGCTGCACGGGCTCGCTGGTGAACTGCGTGTCGAAGTTGTCCAGTCCGTAGTCGTCAGTGATCTGCGGCTGGAAGGGCGGCGGCGCCTGCTTCTTCTCCAGCTGGGGACACGGAGAAGTCACGTCAGTGATGTGTCCTCTCTGTGGCCGCCCAGGCTGCACCCGGAAGGCCTTCAGCGTTTCCATGTGCCCGAGACACCGGGGCCCCTGGTGCAGCCGAGCCTGCAGACGCCTGCTGCGTGGGGCCGAGTCCCCTTCGGAGAGGGAGATGGCCCAAGGCCCCACGCGACGGGATGGCCGCAGCCCGGCCAGTGCCAGCCAGTGCCAGACGAGCCCCTGGTCCCGTGTGCACTGGGGGCCCAGGTGGTCAGGACAACAGAAGCACCTGGGGCCGGGAACACCGGAAACGCCCAGAGCGCTTCGGGGACTTGTGGAGCCTGAACACGGGTTCTCCTGACGGACCAGGTGAAGGGCACAAGGACGTCAGACGGGTCCTCCCTACGCGGGCATCAGGGGTTCGGCCAGCGTGGCAGCCGGTCACCAGCAGCACCCACAGCCCGGCCGCGGGTGCAGCACAGCCCTCTTCCCCCCGGAGTGCCATGAGGCGTCCCCTTCACTCATGACTGCTGACCTGTCAGACCCGTATGAAATATTTTCTGATAAAAGTGTAAAAAGAGGGCATTTCTTCTCTTTTTTTTTTTGGTTAATCCTCACCTGAGGCTACTTTTCCATTGATTTTTAGGCGGGGGGGGGGCAGAAACATCGATGAGAGAGAGACACAGTGACTGGTTGCCTCCCACACGACCCCAGCTGGGGCCAGGGATCGAACCCACAACCGAGGTCCGTGGCCTTAACCAGGACTTGAACCCGCGACCCTCCAGTCCTCAGGCCAAAGGGGAATTTCTTAAACCTTTTTGCCTGCCTTGCGTCTTGGGCTGCTTTAAAAAGACGTAAATAGCAAAGTCAGGATGGACCAGGAAGCAGCGCAGCGGGGTGCTCGCCGGGGGTCATGCAAGCCCCCCTCAGAGTGTCCACATGCCCCCTCCTTCCTCAGTCCAAAGCAGTGGATGGACAGGCCAGGCCTTCCAACCTGGGCCCGCAGAGAAGGGAGGGGTGGCCAGAGACCAATCACCATCCCTGCTCACAAATGTGTCCGTGGAGGGGGCTTGGAGACGCGCCCCCGGGACTCAGGGACCCAGAAATCTGCCACAAAGGTGACAGGCCGCTGGATGGGCAGTGACGTCAGGTCCAGTCCGTGTGTCTCTCACAAGGATCTCCCTCCCCCCTCCCTCCCTCCCTCCGATTCTCTCTAAAAATCAATGGAAAAAAGTATCCTCTGGGGAGGATTAACACAAACACAAACACAAAACAACTCTACCGACTGTGAACGTGATGAGAACTGACTGCTGATTGTTGACTAAAGGTAGAAAACGAGAGGAAGAAAGTGCACAGACAGTCTGCCGTGGTGGCCGGGGATCCGGCTCTTTGGGGGACGCCTGAAGGTGCGGGGCGGTGCAGAGTGTGCCCGGGATGCCAGGGACCCCGAGGGCTCAGCAAGGCCCCAGTGCGGGAGGCAGAGGGGTCAAGGGCGACTGCGGGGTGGCGGGAGCTGGGGGAGCCGGGGGAGGAGGGGCTGTGGAGTCACAGTGGGACGCAGCACACCTGTGTCCCAAACCACCGTCCTGAGACAGAGAGAAATGGGGACGAAACAGGAAAGTACTTGCTAAACCCACGGAACTGGAGGCGCAGCGAGCGGGCCCGGCAAGCTGGGGACAGAAGTCAGACCCCTGGCCTGCCAGGGCCGGGCCCCAGGGAGCGGCAGGAATAAGGGGCCCCAGCAGGCCCGCCCAGGCCGCGGCAGCAGTGGGTGGTTCTGGACCAGGACCCAAGCATGTGGACAAGACCACGGGCCTCAGACGATTCAGATGCTGGTTTTCAGGGGCGACGACAGTAGCCGGCAGGAGGACACCAGGCCCGTGAAAAGCCAGGACACCGAGATGGACCCGCACTCACACCAGGATCACCAAGAAGCGCCATCCCTAGGGGCTCATCTGGCCTCCCTCTCCCCGTTCTGTCACATGTGAGCTTCCCGGTCACACCCCCGCCCCCGCCCCCGCCCAGGGCAGCACCCCCTTCATGCCCCGTCGCCTCGGGGAGGGGCGCGGGTTCTGCGCTGCATTACCAGGTCCCAGTCTATGCTGCGGAAGAATGCGTGAGACTTGATGTCGGAAAATCCGGTCTGTGGCCGGCAGCCGAGCCTCTCTTTGGGGTCCTGGGGGTCAGAGTTCAAATAGGGACACGTCAGCAGGGAGCCCAGAAGCCCGGGCACCACGGATGACATCTGCCCGGGGACCCGGTGGCTTCGTGCGTACCTTGTTCAAAAACCCTTTCAAGACGTGGGAGGCTTTGACGGACAGGAAGCGGGGGATGCGGATGGGCTTCTCCAGGATCACTGCAAAGGGTGGGGCCGTGGTGAGAAGCGGGGACCCCTGCCACGCTCTGAGTCTGCTGTGCAGCAGAGACCCAGCACACACGGTAGCATGTGTGCACGGTCCCGGGTGAGCCAGCTGCACCCCTTGCACAGGCGCCCTCTGCACACGGCCCCTCTGCACACGGGCCCTCTGCACACGCGCCCTCTGCACACGGCCCCCAGAGTGCCTCAGGGACAGTGAGGTCCTGGACCGGGGGCAGGTGGCTGGAAGGGGGCACTGCCCTGGCGGGACCGGAAAGAGCCATGTCCCAGCCCAGGGCGGGTCCGTGAGAACAGGGCTGGCCCAGCCTCGTCTGTGGGACGAGCAGCTGCAGGTGCAGGGACCTGCCTGGAGACCCTCCCAGCCGCACCCCTGTCACCTTGGAACAGGTAGTCCTCAGTGTTCATGTCGGGGTTGTCGGTGATGATGTCGAAGGGGGAGCGCCCGGCCATCATCTCAAACATCAGCACCCCCAGCGCCCACCAGTCCACGCTGAACCCTGGAGGGAGCACAGGCCGGTCACGCCCAGGGCGCCCCGCCTCCCCTCGGCCCACTGTCCCGGGCACTGGTCTCTTCCGGCTGCGGGCAGTGTGAGCCCCGGCCCCGCAGGGCGCCCAGGCCGACGCCCGTGTGCACTTCACGGCATAGGCAGAGCTGGGCCGACCTGCGGACCCTGTCCTTTCCCCCTCCTGCCTCGATTCCACTCTTTATCTTCTGTTAACCCTCATCCCAGGACATGTTTCCACTGATTTTTAGAGAAAGCAGCAGGGAGGGAGGGAGGGAGGGGGGGAGAGACATCGATGTGAGAGAGACGTATCGATTGGTTGCCTCCCACATAAGCCGGGGATCGAACCTGCAACCCAGGTACTTGCCCTTGACTAGAATCAAACCCACGACCCTTCAGTCTTTGGGCCGGTGCTCTAACCGCTGAGCCCACTGGCCAGGGCCCTCAGGGCTCCCTGAGAAGAAGTCCTGTCCAGTGTCCTCCACCAGGGGCAGCTGAGCAAACGGACCACAGAGGAGGCTGCAGAGGGGGGCAGGCGGTGTCAGGGCTGGAGACTAACGGGTGTTTCAGGGGTGATTTCATCAGTAAACCCTTTTCCTGGCTGCTGGGCCAGGCCCCCTACCTCCCTCTCTGCTCTGTGACCACGTCCCCAAGGAGGAAAAGCTTCCGGAGGTCAGGGCCCCCCTCACCCACATCTGCCCCCTGGGCCCCCCGGGCTGGCAGCCGTGCTCACCGTACTCCTCCCCACGCAGGATCTCTGGGGCGATGTAGTTCGGGGTCCCACAGAAAGTGCTCGTGGTGTCGCCCGGGCCCAGGCCTTCCTGTGGGACAAAGCCGGTCACCAGGAGGGACCTCGGGCCTCAGAGGAAACAGCGGGGCACCGTGGTCGTGCCCAGGCCTGGTCACCCTGGGTCAGGGCAGCTGGTGGGCGCGGGGGGGCCCAGAACCCGGGGGGCCGCTCGCCTTGCACATGCCGTAGTCCGTTAACTTGATGTGCCCGTCCGCGTCCAGGAGCACGTTGTCCAGCTTCAGGTCCCGGTAGATGATCCCTCTCTCGTGCAGGAAGTTGAGAGCGATGCAGATCTCAGCAGCGTAGAACCTGGCGGGGGTGGGGGACGTCCTGCAGTCAGCAGAGGACCCCACAAGGAGCCTGGACGGGCGGCCCACACACACAGGACGAGCTGGAGGCGTCGCCACAGACCCTGCTCCCCCGTCTCGGTCCCTGTGTCCTGGGGTGACAGCAGGGGGCCAGCAGGACCAGGGAAGACACTCAACATCCCGGTTGTCAAGGAAACACACACCAAAACCACCAGACACACCCTGGCCAGTTCGGCTCAGTGATTAGAGCGTCAGCTTGCGGACCAGGGTCTCGGGTTCGATTCTGGTGAAGGGCACATACCTCAGTTGCAGGTCGGTCCCTGGCCCTGGTCAGGGTCATGCTGGAGGCAACCAGTCGATGTGTCTCTCTCACATCAGTGTTTCTCCCTCCCTCCCTCCCTCCCTCCCTCCCTCCCTCCCTCCCTCCCTCCCTCCCTCCCTCCCTCCCTCTCTGTCTGAAGATAAATGAAAAAATATCCTTGGGTGAGGGTAAAAAATCCAACAAAACAAAAAAACCACCGGACACCACCTAACGGCCACTGTCAAGCAAACAAAAACAAAACCAGTGTTGAGAAGGAGGAACTGAGACCCTGGGCACCACTGGTGGGAATGGGAGATGGTGCGGAGATGCCTTAAAAGGTTAAAACCAGCACTGCCCACCCCGCGACCCAGCAGCCACTCTGGACTGGAAGCAGGTCCCAAAGAAACACCTGCGCACCCACGTTCACGGGCGCACTACTCACAACGGCCAGCAGGTGGCAGCAGCCCAGTGTGCACGGACGGACAGATACTTGCCGAGGTCCGTGCACAGGGGAATTATTTCTCCGCCTTTGAAAAGAAGGACATTCTGACACCTGCTACGTGGATGGGCCTTGGGGGCATCAGGCTGAATGAAATAAGCCAGACTCAGGTCAAACGCGGGGTGATCCCACTCACAGGAGGCCCCCGGAGGAGGCAGATTCGGAGACAGCAAGTGGTAGGGCAGGGGGTGAGTTTGGTGGGGACGGTGTCAGATGGACCGACGGCACGTTCCGGACAGCATGGTGGTGATGGCCACAACACTGTGAGTGTGCTCAAGGCCCCTGTGCTGGGCCCTCAACAATGGTTAGGACGCGGTTTACGGTACGCGGACCTCACCACAGTGAGAGAGAAAGGGAGTGTGTGTGGGGCGTGTTCTCGATCTGTGAACTTCCTCTTCCCCCAGAGGATCTAAGGGACTCAAAACCGAGTGGAATTTTTCCAAGTGCGGAAATGAGGAGAGAAAACTGTGGAAAAACAGGAAACAGCGGAGGCAAACGCCCCAGGCTGCAAGGGAGGGGCAGAGGTGAGTGCAGTGGCTGCCCGGAGGCTGTGCTCAGTGGTTAGGGTCGACCCTGCACCAAGAGGTCGCCGGTTCAATTCCCAGTCAGGCACGTGCCCAGGTTGTGGGCCTGGTCCCCAGTGGGAGACATGCAGGAGGCGGCCAATCAATGTTCTCTCTCCTTGATGTTTCTCTTTCTCCCTCTCCCTTCCTCTCTAAAATCAATAAAAGAAAAAAAAATTTTTTTTAAAAATAGAGGAAACAGTGGTCATTCTCTCCTGGTGCCCAGGGAACCCCGGCTTTGCGTCCGTGTAAACAGACAGGAAGCAGGCGGCACGCCGTCCACCGGGAGAGCTCAGGCAGAACCCGCCCCTGTTCCGGGAGAAGGCGAAGCCACGGCAACACGCTCCACGAAACGCCGCTTCTTTGGGCAGAGGGTCCAAGCTGCTCCTGGGGGGCCAGGTCCGACGGGCCCGGACTCACAGGACCCTCCCAAGTCCATGACCCCCGAGCGGCTCCGGAATTTGCCACACGCAGGAAAGCAGGGCACACGCTTCCCCCAAACCTCATCTCCTTGGTGCAGCTACTGACCTCCCGGGAGGCCTCCTGCGCCCTCCCCTGGGGCCCACGTCCACCTGGCCGGCACCCACCTGGCGTGCTCCTCCGGAAGCTTCCGCTGTCTCTGCATGTGGAACATGAGGTCCCCGCCATTGACGTACTCTATGACCAGGAACAACCTGGGCAGGAGAGAGGGTGGTGCAGGCTGAGACCACAGGTGACCAGTGTCCCCCGAGAACCCTCCCGGGGCCGCCTCGCTGGTGACACTGTTCGGGCCGACAGCCTGTCTTCTTTTGCTGCCATGTTGACTGTCCTGAGTGGCCAGAGAGGAAACCGGGTCACCTGAGCGGCTCCCGGGGTCCAGAGGGACAGCAGCCCGGACTGGAGAGGCCACGGTGGACGTGTCACCCTGGGGACGCCCAGAGATCCGCTGTCACCCAGTTCTGACCCTGGGGCAGTGAGACTTGGAAACCCCCCCTTTTACCCGCTCACTCCATGCATCCAACAGCTATCTGCTCCCCAAGTGGAGCGAGGTCTGCCTCAGGGCAAAGAGGTAACAGTGACCCAGGGCTGGGGGCAGAGGCCCGTGGGGGAGGGCAGACCTCACCGGGGAGCTGGGGCCGTGACGGGACCAGCTCCCAGCGTCAGAGGAAACACCACAAGGCTGGGGGCCAGGAGCACTGGCAGGACAGGGGGACTGCCTGGCCGCTGGGTCTGGATGGGCTCCAGGGAGGGGAGGGTGGGCGGGCGGAGGAGCAAGGAGGTGCCTGGTCGCAGGAAGGTGGGGGCAAGGAGGGGCCAGGCCGCAGGTGGGCAGGATGAAGGAAGGAGCTGGTGGGCTGTTCCCAGCACAGGGCAACTCAGCCGCGGTGAGTCTGGGGGGCAGTCGGGGGGCCACTGGGGTCAGGCCACACTGTGCGGTCCTGGGGTTCAAAGAACCAAGACCCAGCCCTGGCCAGTGTGGCTCAGCGGTACAGCGGTACAGCGGTACAGTCGGCTCGCGGACCAAGGAGTCGTGGATTTGATTCTGGCCAAGGGCACGTACCTGGGTTGCGGTTCGTCCCCGGCCCTGGTTGGGTTGTGCAGGAGGCAACCAATCGATGTGTCCCTCTCACGTCGATGTTTCTCTCCCTCTCTCTCCCTCCCGCTCTATCTGAAGATAAATGGAAACATGTCCTCGGGGGAGGATTAAAAAATAAATAAAATTTAAAAATAAAATAAAAACACTAAAATAAATGAGTAGATGAAGCTGAGACCCAACAATGTCCTCAGATGCACTCGGCCCGTCAGACTCCAGACCGTTCACCACGTGGCTTCTTTCTGGGGAAGTTCTTCCTCACACTCAGTGAGGTTCCATTCCGACATTAAATTCACACACGACTTTCCGGAAATACCCAGTGAAGGGCAGCGCTCAGAACTGCAGGTCACCGGCTCCACTGGGGGCGTCAGGAGGGAGCTCGTGTTTAACCCTGTTAACCAGGGAAGGGCCCTCAGACCTAAGAGTTAGTCTGAAAGCAAAAACGAGGAGAACTCCGGGGTGACTTTAAAGCGCGGGACGGATCTCGTCCCGTCACCAGGAATCATGACCCAGAGAACCAGTCCCCTAAGCCTGCTCCCCAGTAGAGGCGTCACCCCAACATGGTGCCCCCCGGGAAGATGGTGTCCACACCAGCTACGCCACTTCCATAGAAAATGAACAAACGCTAATTCCAGAAAAAAATCACTATGGGACCTGAGGAAGCTAACGAAGTTAGAACTGAGTCAAGTGGAAGGGAAGGGAGTTTCCTTTCTCCGTCCTGGGAACTTCACGAGGCCCGTTGCCCGACGAGGACCCTGTGACAGGTCCGGCTGGATGTGCCTGCTGCCTCTGGTCCCAGGTCCCTCGCCAGTGAAGGGATTCATTTAATGTTTTTTATTGATTTTTTTAGAGAGAGGAAGGGGGAGAGAGAGAGAAACATTGATCGGCTGCCTCCCGCACGCCCCCTACTAGGGATCGAGCCCACAACCTGGGCATGTGCCCAGACCAGGAACCCAACCGGGACCTCTCAGTCCATGAGAGGACGCTCCAACCACTGAACCACAGCAACTGGGCTAATTTTATTTTATTGATTTGAAAGAGAGAGGAAGGGAGAGGGAGAGAGAGTTTCAAACATCGATGAGAGAGAACATCGATTGGCCGCCTCCTGCGTGCCCCCCACTGAGGATCAGGCCCACAACCTGGGCATGTGCCCTGACCGGGAATCGAACTGGCGACCTCTTGGTGCAGGGTCGACGCTCAACCACTGAGCCACACTGTCGGGGCTAATTTTTTTTTAATGCTCACCCGAGAATATTTTCCCATTTATCTTCAGATAGAATGGGAAGCAGAGAGAGAAACATCGATATGAGAGAGATACATCACTGGTTGCCTCCCACATGACCCCGACCAGGGCTGGGGATGAACCACAACCAAGGTACGTGCCCCTTGACTGGAATTGAACCCGAGACGCTTTGGTCCGCAGGCTGTTGATCTAACCGCTGAGCCACACGGGCCAGGGCAGAAATCATTTAATTTTAACACCGACCCAGCTACAATCACAGCAGAGGTCTGTGTTTTTTCCTTTTTAATGCAGGATTTTTTTGTTTTACAAATAAACCTTAATCCTACTTCTGACATTTCTCCCGAGCAAAACGCTGTCGGCCCCACCTGGTGCCGATTCACTCGCTCGAGGATGACGCCCTGTGAACCAGATGAGCCACGGAGGCAAAACGCTCAAACGCCCACGGCCGAGCTGCCCACGTTCACCTCTGGCTGGGGGCCAGCGGGCGCCTGCCACACTGAGCCGGCACCTGGGCCCCCCAGATCCAGCGGCGGCGTGCAGCCGGGGTGGTGAAGGCAGGCTGTGGTGGGGGCTTCACAGTCCAACCCTCCCACAGTCCGTACGTCCGTCACCCAGGAGGAGACACAATTCCTGGGGTCAGGACGGCAGGTACGTTCCCTTAGTACTTAACGAGATGTGCGGAAAATAGTAAAAACCAGCCAAAGAGCCTTTTCCCTATTTCACAGATGGGGAGTTGAGGTGCAGAGAGGTTGAATCACTTCCCCAGGGTCACACAGTCCCTGTCGAGAAGAGCCGACTCAGACAGGACAGGGCCCAGGACGAAGCCCAGTCCAGTCGGCCCCCACCGCCCCGGGTGGCCATGCCCGACGATGCCCCGGCACAGAGCAGACGGAGGCAGGGGACCCAGGAGGGTCGCTGGGGGCAGAGCAGGAAGATAGGACCCGGACGCAGGACCAGGAAAGACAAGAAGGGGCTGGCGTCCTCAGGGCCCTTGTTCTGGGAGAGAAAATGCAAATCAGAAACAAGACCAGCATCGGTCACCACCGGGATCCCGACCGTGGGAGGCACAGACCAGGGCCCCAGGAAGGTGATCCAGAGCTGGGCGCGGGCCCAGCGGGGCCAACGGCAGCCTCAGCTGCCCCAAAGCACTGGCGGGGGTGGGGAGACCGGACCAGCCTCGGATTCTCCCACGAAGGGTAAAAGCCAGAACACACCTGAGTCGGGGCAGGGGAACCCGGCGAAGCTGAGGTTCAAGGCAAACGCTGGGGTTCTTAAGTGTGAGGGGACGCACGGGACACAAACCCCGCGCCCTTCTGACAGCACGGAGCAGATTCAGAGGAACCGAAACCTCGAAGCAGCTGCAGAAGGACTGGGGGACAGCGTTACCAGCTCGGAACCGTAAAAATTACATCAACAAGAACTGGGGGGGCAGAGGAAGGGGGAGCTACCCTCTGAAACCACCCCAGGCCCCACGGTCCCAGAGATCGGCCCTGAAATCATGCCAACGCTATTCAGAACGTCCCAGAGAATAAGGAAAACTGAAAAACCCAACAAGATTGCACAAGAAACTTCAGCTCCATCAGTGAAAAAATCCTCCACACAATGTCCACAGGTGAGATCCGGACGCGCGACAGCAGAACAACGCGCTCAGCCCGGCACGCTGCTGCCCGGAGCCAGGACTGTTCGCCACGGGAGACGGGCTCCGACGACACCCCGACAGGCGCCCCCAGAACGAGAACTCTGGACAAACTCGGCGCCCCCGGACAGCCACACAGAACTGGACGTGGCAAATGACGCCTCTTGGGCCAGGTCTGCAACCCCACCCAGCTGGGGGCCTGCAGGGGCCCTGCTCGGGGGGACTTGCCAGTGGACACCCCAGAGGAAACAGGAAGATGGGGTCCAGGAATCAGGAGGGGTCCTGTGTCCAACCGCTCAGGCAGGGGCACACCTCCTTGGCCTCCAGCCCTGGCAGACGGGCACCTCTTCCTGGGTGGACCCAGTGTGATGGTCACCGGCGGGGCCCTGGTCCCTTCAGCCCCCTGCGGCGGCCCGTGTCAGGGCCGTCTGTCTGTCTGTCCCAGGCATAGTGGTCTGGTTCTGCTTTCCCGATGCCCGGACAGCCACGGCGGCTGGCATGACGCTGGCTGTGAAAACGTGGCTCGTCCCCAAACGAGAGGAAAACCCCACCGATGACAGGAACCAGAGGGGCAGAAAGTCCGCACAGAAACCAACTCAGGGGAGGACTGGTTAGTTCAGGGGAGGACTGGTTAGTTCAGGGGACTGGTTAACTCAGGGGAGGACTGGTTAACTCAGGGGAGGACTGGTTAGTTCAGGGGAGGACTGGTTAACTCAGGGGAGGACTGGTTAGTTCAGGGGAGGACTGGTTAACTCAGGGAGGACTGGTTAGTTCAGGGGAGGACTGGTTAATTCAGGGGAGGACTGGTTAGTTCAGGGGAGGACTGGTTAGTTCAGGGGACTGGTTAACTCAGGGAAGGACTGGTTAGTTCAGGGGAGGACTGATTAGTTCAGGGGAGGACTGGTTAGTTCAGGGGACTGGTTAACTCAGGGGAGGACTGGTTAACTCAGGGGAGGACTGATTAGTTCAGGGGAGGACTGGTTAGTTCAGGGGACTGGTTAACTCAGGGGAGGACTGGTTAACTCAGGGGAGGACTGGTTAACTCAGGGGAGGACTGGTTAGTTCAGGGGAGGACTGGTTAACTCAGGGGAGGACTGGTTAGTTCAGGGGAGGACTGGTTAGTTCAGGGGAAAACTGGTCAGTTCAGGGGACAACTGGTCAATGCAGGGAGTGTGCACTACAGTGATTTCCTCCTTCGCACTTGTCTGCATTTTAAATTGTGTTAAGTTGTTAAGCACAGATTCGAACCCGGTCCTGACAAACGGGGCCGCAGCTTCGTCTGGGCCCCCAGCCTGGCCCGCAAGGCCCTGTCCCGGGGAGGAACTCCGCTGGGCAGGGCGTCTGGGCTGGGGGCTGGATGGGGGAGGGTGTGGGGGGTGGAACCACGGCCTCTCTACACTGTCGCCCGAGCCAGGCCGTGGATGCCGGCATGAAGGTCAGCACGTCCTTGAGGGCCTTGCACCGGCTCTTCTGTCCCGAAGCCGCCAGCCGCCTCCAGCTTAGGACAAAACAACAAACTGTGTTCCCTCCTGTCGGGTGAGGCCCCAACGGCACGGCTCAGCCCAGTGGGAGGGTCCCTGCTGTCCAGGGCTTTGCGATGATTCCCAGTGGCCGTCAGTCCGCCACACCTGACGCAGAAATGAACCCCCAGAATCTTCTCGGGTGCCTCAGCCACGTCGCAGTCACGCCCGATGGAAGAACTGTGTCCTGGGCGCCCGCGCAGCCTGTCCCCGAGCCCGAGTCCTGCTCCGCACCTGCGGCCGGGGCGCATTTCACCCTTTCTGGGTGATTCAGGTGACAAGCGAGCACAATGCGGGCCTCTGATCATCACCGTGTGTCAGGAGAACAAAGGCCGAGGTGACGGCACCCACCCCTCTGCCACCCGTCACTCAGGCTGCTCTGTTCTGTGCTTGAACCAGGACTGTCGCAGGCTCGCTGCCTTCGGAGGTGATGACTCATGTTCCCAGGGCGGATGGCATCTGCCTGCCTCGCCGTGGGTGCCTGCTCCGAGGTCACGGCCCCTCTGCCCACCCCTGCTCGGAGGTCGTGACCCGGCCCTTAGCATCTCCTCTTACCAGTTTGCGGGGGGTCGACCAGCCGCCCCGCTCGCCTGCTTTCGTCAACCAGCCCCACCCAGCCCCGCTAACCCCCGGGTGGCATCGGCACGAGGTCCCCCTGTCCAGGCTGCAGGCGAGTCTCGGTGCAGTTTAGAGAGAGGGGCACAGAGCAGGGCTGGGCTGAGTGGCCACAACGTCGTTTGTAAAGACCAAGAGCACATCCTGAGTGTGGGGTGAACGGAGCTGACCCGCCGTCTGCGACCTGAGATGGTGCCGCAGGGACAGAGATGTCCCCGAAAACAGTCCCGGAATCACGACCGAATGGGGGCGGGGCTGCTAAAAATAGCGACTTCAGCTCGTCTTTGGCTCACTCTCCTCGAACAGCGTACACGGGAGCTGTTTCCCAGCTGGGCGGTGTCTCGGTTCACGTTCATCTGGCTGTTGTTCAGAGAAGACGCACTGACCGTGAAGGTGTGAGACGTGGTTTCCCACGACACCGAGTTTCCTCTGCGGTGAAACCCCGCCGTGCTGGTGACACCACTGCTGCCCGGGACACGTGGGGACCCCGTGTCAGCCGTGGCTGGGGCACGGCGGCCAGCACGGGCACCCCTGGACTGGGGGGAAGAAGGACGCCCCCGTTCCTCCCCATTCAGACCCCGTCTCGTCACCAGGCTCGAGGGGAACCTCTGCTCTTGTTACCAGGTTTCTCCTGAGGCCGCAGGGCGCCCAGCCCAGCTCCAGGCCTAACCTGTTTCCTGTTGTGTCAACACTGACAGGCCCCTGGCCCCTGGCCACGGCCACCGCTCCCGCTCCCGGCGCCCGCAGTGACCCTCAGCCACCCAGGAGGCCGAGCAGGCAGTGTTCCGTGCCAGCCCAGCCCCCAGACCCCACCCCTTGTCCCATTCTACGGTCGGTCCACATGGGCGTCCGGTGGCCGTGCAGGCCGACAGCCGCCCGGGGTCTGACCAAGGGAGCTGCGGGCTCTCACACCAGCGCTCGGACAAGGCTCGAGAAGACGGGTGACCACCCGACGGCCCCGGCAGTAAACTGACGCACCCCCACCTCCTGCTGTAAACTGACGCACCCCCACCGCGGGAGGCAGGCCCCCTGCTATCCCTGTTCCCGGAGGCGGAAGCTGGGGCACAGGAGGTGCCCCGGGCGAGGTCGCACCGGCCGGAAGAGGAAAGGCTGGACGCGGACCCGGCGCTGGCTCCAGCCTCTGCTTCTACGGCCGCCAGGAAGAGCGGCGGAAGGGCCTGGTGTCCGCAGGGCGCGGGCTGCCTGGCCGCACACGCCCAGGTGGTGTCTGTGCCGCTCGCTGCCTGCAGCTGTGTCCCAACCCGAGAGTCAGACACGCGGGGAGACGCAAACACAGCCGGGTGGAGGGACCCATCCCGCTCCGGCCCGCGCCCTCCTGCAAGTCTCAGCCCACACGCCTGCAGGACTCAAATTCTGCTCGGAGCCGGTCTTAATGTTTTACTAGCCTCTCATTAATTAGTGAGTCGTTAATCAGTGAGTCAGCAGACTCTGCGAGGCGTTCACTTTGCATCTGAACCAGGAACGGACTGTGCCTCAGAACCACCCCTGCAACACCAGGCCCACCTGCGCCGTGGCAGGTACATTTGAATGCGCAGCCGCCCTGCCCTGGGGAGCTACAGGCTCAGGGCCTGGAGAGCAACCTGGGAAGACACCCTGCGCAGACTCACCGAGCTCCGGAGCTTCCGGGGCCACTGACAGGCCCCAGGAGCACCTCGGTCGCTCCTGGACGTGGCTCCTGCCGGCAGCTTGGAAAAGCAGGACAGGAAGTGCTGCGTCGTAGGGACCCCACAGAACACCCAACAAAGGGACGTCTCTAAAGCTACCTTGGCGCGCCCGGGAACGGGGACCCGATCTCCGGGCCGGGGAGCAGAAAGCTGTGCTCGGGCAGCAGGAGGGAAGCGAGGCTGAAACAGTGGCCCTTTCACATCCACATCTACCAGTTCACAAAGTAAAATTCACCGAAAACCCAAACCAGCGCCTCTCTGGAGGCGTGAGAGGGACGGGGCTTGGGGTGGCGCTAACAGAGCCGGGACAGAGCCCCGGGCGGAGCGGAGGGGGCGAAGGGCGGGCCAGCCCAGCAGGCAGAGCAGGACCAGCTGAGCCTGGTCACAAGGCCGAGGCCGCACGTCCAGAAGCAAGTCAGAAAGTAACAGGAGCGTTGAAGGCAGAAGACACTTCAGATCTGCGTTCTCAAAATATGGCTTAGCTTCAACGTGGGGGACAGACAGCCTGGGGCCGCGGGGACCGGGCACCCCAGGATGCTGTGGCGGGGGTCAGGCAGGACAGAGGGGGCATCTGAGACACTTTCTGGAGGCGGAACCAGTGAGGTCGGGGGAGGGACAACCGCAGGTCTGGGGGAAAGGCCAGGTGATCCCGTGCTCGGCACACAGCAGCCGTCCAGTGCGGGTGGGAACAGGGGGTGAGGGTGGGTGAGGGGTGTGAGCGGCAGGCCTGACAAGCAGCCGAGAACCCCGCAGAAGCCAGGACCCCGACAGCCTGCTTGTGAGCTGCCCCTCAGCCAGAGCCTGGGCCTCGCGCGGCAAACGGTTCCCGCACTGAGATGAAATCGCTCTGAAAGAACCAGCCTTGAGCACAACCCTGAGTCCTGCGTCCCAGTGAACCATCAAAACCGGGGTGCTCTTGAGGACAGCCCCCCCAGAACGTACTCGACAATTTTCCAAATAAATTGGGTGAGTTGAAGTCAACTGGCCAAATATTTCTGAACAGAGTCTACGTGAAACATCCTGTACGCGGTTCCCAAACCGTTTCAAAGCAGCAGAATCCTGACGCAGGTGGAGCTGTTAGGCTTTGTGGTTTACTTCACAAGTCAGCTCAGACCCCCAAGCACAGACCCCGCGCCCCTTCACTGGGCATCCCAGCACCTGACCCGATGCACTCACGGGACACTCTCAGCAAGTATTCTGTGAACGGAGTCAAGCAATTTAGGTCCAGATGTATGAAATTCACTTACTATGACAATGGCCAATGAAAACAAAGCCAGGTGGAAAACCCCAAACCCCAAACCTTGCCGCGGGGAGAAGCCGCCAGCCCTCGCCCGCTCAGCTGCCACACAGACCCCCTACCTGCTGGTGGTCTGGAAGCAGGAGTGCAAGCCCACCAGGAAGGGGTTGCTGGAGGCCTGTTCAAACACGTGCTTCTCCGTCTGGACCCAGTCGATGTCCTGAAACAGAAACCGGGGGTCAAGGAGGCTGCTGCACGCTCCTCAGGCAGCCCGCGGGGGGGGGGGGGGAATGCCCCTCACTGCCCCTTGTGGGAAGACGACGCGGAGAAAAAAAGAAAATACTTGTTTAGAAATATACCACCTTCATCACCACCACCACCACCATCATAATCATCACCTCCACCACCATCACCATCATAATCATTACCTCCACCACCACCATCATAATCACCTCCACCACCATCACCATCATAATCATCACCTCCACCACCATCACCACCATCACAATCATCACCTCCACCACCATCACAATCATCACCTTCACCACCATCACCACCATCACAATCATCACCTCCACCACCATCACCACCATCACAATCATCACCTTCACCACCATCACCATCATAATCATCACCTCCACCACCATCACCATCATAATCATCACCTCCACCACCATCACCATCATCATAATCATAATCATCACCTCCACCACCATCACCATCATCATAATCATAATCATCACCTCCACCACCATCACCATCATCACCTCCACCACCATCACCATCATAATCATAATCATCACCTTCACCACCATCACCATCATAATCATCACCTCCATCACCACCATCACAATCATCACCTCCACCACCATCACCATCATAATCATAATCATCACCTCCACCACCACCACCATCACCATCATCACCTCCACCACCATCACAATCATCACCTTCACCACCATCACCACCATCACCATCATAATCATCACCTCCACCACCATCACAATCATCACCTCCACCACCACCATCACCATCATAATCATCACCTCCACCACCACCACCATCATAATCATCACCTTCACCACCATCATCACCATCATAATCATCACCTCCACCATCATAATCATCACCTCCACCACCATCACCATCATAATCATCACCTCCACCACCATCACCATCATCACCTCCACCACCATCACCATCACAATCATCACCACCACCACCATCACCATCATAATCATCACCTCCACCACCATCACAATCATCACCTCCACCACCATCACCATCATAATCATCACCTTCACCACCATCATCACCATCACAATCATCACCTCCACCACCATCACCATCATAATCATCACCTCCACCACCACCATCATAATCATAATCATCACCTCCACCACCATCACCATCATCACCTCCACCACCATCACCACCATCACAATCATCACCTCCACCACCATCACCATCATAATCATCACCTCCACCACCATTATCACCATCACCATCATCACCTCCACCACCATCACCATCATAATCATCACCTCCACCACCATCACCATCATAATCATAATCATCACCTCCACCACCATCACCATCATCACCTTCACCACCATCACCATCATAATCATCACCTCCACCACCACCATCATAATCATCACCTCCACCACCATCACCATCATAATCATCACCTCCACCACCATCACCATCATAATCATCACCTCCACCACCATCACCATCATAATCATCACCTCCACCACCATCACCATCATAATCATCACCTCCACCACCATCACCATCATAATCATCACCTCCACCACCATCACCATCATAATCATCACCTCCACCACCACCACCATCACCATCATCACCTCCACCACCATCACCATCATCACCTCCACCACCATCACCATCATAATCATCACCTTCACCACCATCACCACCATCACAATCATCACCTCCACCACCATCACCATCATAATCATCACCTCCACCACCACCATCACCATCATAATCATCACCTCCACCACCACCATCATAATCATAATCATCACTTCCACCACCATCACCATCATAATCATCACCTTCACCACCACCACCATCATAATCATAATCATCACCTCCACCATCATAATCATCACCTCCACCACCACCACCATCATAATCATCACCTCCACCACCATCACCACCATCATAATCATCACCTCCACCACCATCACCAACAGCACCTCCACCACCATCACCACAATCACAATCAGCACCTGCACCACCACCACCATCATAATCATCACCTCCACCACCATCACCATCATAATCATCACCTCAACCATCATCACCATCATAATCATCACCACCACCACCATCATAATCATCACCTCCACCACCATCACCATCATAATCATCACCTCAACCATCATCACCATCATAATCATCACCACCACCACCACCACCACCTCCACCATCATCCCCTCCATCGTCTGTCACAATGACCACTGCCACCAGCTGTGCTGGCCTCTGGGCTACAGGCTGTCCGTGCACTGCCCACGGCAGCCTTGCGAGGCCAGTATCCTCCCCACTTAAGACACGAGGAAACAGAGGAGGAAGACTAAGCAGATTCCAGGGGGTCCCACGTCCATCTCCCGAGCACCGCTCCTCCCACAGGGCGACCCCCTCCCAATCCACGCTGGAGCGTGGGGAAAGCTCTTGTCCTCCTGTCTGCTAGGAGACCCCGGGTAGAAGGGCTTCACCCCGGCCGTCTGCGCAGAGGGACCCTCGCTCCTCCTGCCCCTGACTTGCTCACGCAGGGGCTGCTGGGAAATTCCACTCAGCCTCTCACCCCGCAGCGCAGGCCTCCAGCAGAGCTCCTGACCAGCCGCCATCTGTTCTCCCAAGGCAGCCGGCCACCCAGATGCTCAGGCAGAAAACCCTGCTGAGCGGAGGCTCTTCCTCCCCTCCAGGTGGAGACCAGGCCCCCAGGTTCTTCCGCCTGACTGCACTGCCTCCTCCGCCTGCTAGACGGTGTTCATGGTTCCAGGGACTCGGATGGACACAGCAGCGTGGGGGCCACCAGCCCACTGCTAGTGTCCCCTGCAGCGCCCACCCCCCAGGCTCAGGGCCTCAGGACACAACTCTCGCTCTTTCTCACACACACATTCGCTCCCACTCACAACTCCGAGAGTCAAGCTCTTCTCGAGAGACCTCGTGAAAGCCCCACTTCCGCCTCTCGGCCCACGGTGGACACGAAGATGCCGAGAACGAACAAAAGCAGTAACTCCTCAGAATGCCCTTTGCCTCAGGGTTCTACACACTGGACCTCACACACTCCGTCGATTTTGCAGCTGGCCGCTGGAGCCACCCAGCATGCAGCTGACCAGCTGAAAGGACGCTGGCCACGCACCACCCCCCGGGGCCTCGGGGTCCCTGGCTGTGAGGCGCAGACACCACTACTCGCTGAGCTCAGCACTCGGGGCTGACAGGCTAGTTGGGCCGCCTGTGCGTGGCCCTGATGCTCCCTGCAGGGGCCGTGACGCACAGGTGCAGCCCCAGCTCCGCCCCCACCCCCTGAGCTGGGCCGGCGAGGGCTTTCCCGCCAGCAGCAGCGTGATGGTGGCAGCATCTCTGCTCTCTGGGCTCAGTCTTCCCTCTGCTCCTGAGACACAGACCCTGCACCTGGGCGCGAAAAGACCAACACTACACAGAGCCAACAGCCCCTGGGAAGCTGCTCGGTATTACTAGTCACTGTGGCCGTGCAACCAAGACCACAGTGAGAGGCTACGGAGTACCCACCAGGACCGCGCCACCCAGAACACCGCAGGTACTGGGAATGACGCCTGGGAGCTGGGCCCCGCACGCGGCGGTGGGAAAGCAGAGGGTGCAGCTGTCGTGGGAGACGGGCCGGCGGCTCCTCAGGTAGTTAGTTCACATGCAGTTTCCCTGCGAACCAGCTATTCTACCCCTGGGCAAAGACCCCAAAGAACTGAGAACAGAGACTCTCATGGACACCTGCACTTGTGTGTTCACAGAAGCTCTATCCCAACAGCCAAAAGGGAAACAGCCCAAACACCCATCAACAGGGGACCAGATAAGCCCAAAGCAGCTCATCCGCAGGCTGGAATATTACTCAGCCAGTAAAAGGAGAGAAGCTCCAACACAGGCCGCAGTGTGTGCTTCTATGTAGATAAGGCGCCCAGATCAGGCAAACCCAGCGACAGAACGTTGATCAGTGGGCTGCCGGGGGCCCAGGGTGGGGGGTGGGGAGTGCTGCTCATGGGGACGGGGTCTCCTGGAGGGATGAAAATGTCCTGCACTGGACAGAGGTGACGGTGGCACAGCTATGTGCCACTGTGCGTACATTTCTAAGTGGTTAAAACGGCACAGGGTATGTGTACTGCACTTCAACGGAAAGAACAAAAGCCATGAAGCCAGAACTAATATTCACATGATAAACGGATGCACCCCCATGGCACAGCTGAGGCTCCTCCCATGGTGCTCAGTGCAGCTCCTGTGGCACTCCCTCCCAGGAGGCTCCGTGGCACCAGCTCCTGCGGCACTCCCTCCTGGGAGGCTCCGTGGCACCAGCTCCTGCGGCACCAGCCCCCGTGGCTCTCCCTCCCGGGAGGCTCCGTGGCACCAGCTCCCGTGGCTGTCCCTCCGGGAGGCTCCGTGACACCCCAGTGGCCAGCTCACCTCGTCGTCGTGCACCAGCTCCTTCTTCACCACCTTCATGGCATAGATCTGGTCGTTCTTCTTGAGCCGCACCAGGAGGACCTTGGCGTAGCTGCCACGCCCGATGACCCTGATGAGGTCGAAGTCCTGCAGCCCCAGCCCCTGAGAAATTTTGATTCCGTCCATCCCATCGATGACTGGCTTGAGGTCCTGAGGGAAGGGGGACAACAGAGAGTGGAAAGGGGGGAATGTGGGGGTTCAGAGAAACACACGGCACCCCTGCCTATCTCAACAAAGACCCTGCGTGCCCCAAATCTCAGAGCCCCAATTGCTCTCGGGTTGAGACTCCACATCCTAAAGACTCCCCATGCCACCCCACTTTGGAAGGAAAGCCAAGAGCTAAGGACTGTGCAGCTTTTTTTGTGGTTGTTAATCTTCACCCAAGGGTATTTTGCCATCGATTTTTAGAGAGAGTGGGAGGGAGGGAGGAAGAGAGAGAGAAACTGATGCGAGAGAGACACACCGACTAGTCGCCTCCCACACGACCCCGATGGTGCTGGGCTGGAACCTCCGATCCAGGCACATGCCCTTGACCAGGGATCAGACCTCGACACTTTGGTCTGAGGGCCGATGCTCTAACCATTGTGCGCACTGGCTGGGGCAGGACTGTGCAGCTTTTGCTGGAAGGAGCTTGACACCCAAAGCTTTTCATTCCCACAATCCGTGGCCCCAACACCAGCTACGGAGGCCTCTCGAGTGATGTGGAATCGGGGGGCGGCTGACTGGGCTGCAGAGGTGACCACAGGCTCACGTGGCCTGGGACCATCAGTAGCTAAAACAAATACCTTGGAAAGGCAGAATGGATGAGGAAGGCACCCGACTTTAAACACAATCCAGCCCTGGCCGGTTTGGCTCAGCGGTTGGAGAGCCGGCCTGTGGACCAGAGAGTCCTGGGTTCGGTCCCCGCTAGGGGCACGTACCAAAAATAAAATAAATAAAATAAAATAGAAAAATGAAACACAATCCACTTCCTTCCTGCGAATGAGCTCTGGCCAGGACGCTGGATGGAAGGAGGAGACAGCTGGGGGGTCCCGCCGAGTCACTGCAGACAAGATCACCAGGGAGCATGACCGAGGCGTGACCCCCGCTGGGGGAAGCTGGGCCAGGTGGAGCTGCTCCCTGAGGGTTTGTGGACACGGTGGAGACCAGCTGTGGGCGGGTCCCTGCTCTGTCACCCGAGGGCCACGCGGAACCCCGGGGCCCGAGGCTGAGGAAGAGCAGGAAAGGGCAGCAGAGGGCCTGCCCATCAGAAGGCTGGTCCTGGGACGCGGCTTTGTAAGAACCACTGATTTGTAACAACTGCGTAGTTGATCTTCCTCCTTCCGGGAACAGAGCTCCTAAAACCCTCGGAATTGCCTAGGAGCCAGAAGGTCTTTTGTTACGCTAATAAGGTGACTTTTGGAAAGCCCTTAAATCACCTAAGAAGGGGGCCAGTTGCCAGGGAAACCAACCACGTGATCGGAGGGTTGGCACTTTCAGCCCCACCCCGACCTCTAGGGGGGAGGGCGTGGGGACCGAGCTCACTCTCCGGGCAGCCAGGGGAGGAACTAATCCTCTCCGTGTAACGACGCCCCCATAAGACCCAAAAGGACAGGGCCCACAAGCCCACAGGTTGTCGAACCCGTGCAGGTTCGGGGAGAGGGACACCCAGAGAGGGCGTGGAATCTCCCTGCCGATCCCACACACCTCACCCTGAGTAACCCTCCACGGGCTGGTCCGAGTGCCGTCCTTTCATAACGATCGTCCTTTCATAACGATCGTCCTTTCATAACGATCGAGTAAGTAAGCCGGGGGCCCAGGGTTTCTCTGAGCTCGGGAGCCGCTCTAGCAAAGTAATCAAACCCACGCAGGGGGTCATCGCGGCCTCCAACCTAGTCGGCTGGTCAGAAGTGGGCTGTCCCCTGGGACCTAGCCCTTCACCTCGGGGCCTGGTGCTCTCCAGGTAGATGAGGCGGAACTGGGTTTAGGATGTAGGATGCCTGGTCGGGGTCTGCTGAGATCTGGAGTATTGCTAGGTGGTGTGGAAAACACACGACGGGAAAAAGGAAGTCTAAGTAATTTCACAAAATAAACGATTTGACAAAAATTACAGATCAAAAACCAGCCCTGGATGCACTCTGCCATCTGGGTGAAGGGGGTGCTGGGAAGACTCATCACCACAGATGGTGCCAGGATCCAGGCCCCAAAGAGCCCAGGACAGCAGCCCCGGGGACTCAGCAAGTATGGGCCCCAAGCGAGACGGCTGTGCCGGCAGCAGCCTGTGAAGCCAGGGCCAGGTCCTGGTGCCCTCTCCTCCCAGCCCCTCAGACCAATTCGCCATCCTGCACACCGTCCCCAAAGACAGACGGCCTGTGCCCTGCATGAGAGGTACCCGTGGACACCAAGGTCTCGTTGCTTCACGAGGCACCGATTCCCCAGGGAACACCTGCCACGGGCTACAAAAGACAGTCCCAGGAAATCTGAGAATTTGAACACTGGGCGTGAGAACCAAATCACCAGAGGCTCCTGAGCATTTCCGTCTAACTCTGTCCTTGGCGCGCAGACAATGCTGGCGGCCCCGCCAGAGGCCCAGCAGACAGTGGAGAGGCTGGTGAGCCCTCTCTCCAGGGGCCAGCCTGCCCACCCTCCTCAAAGCCTCTGAGCACCGGGGTGTCCATGTGCAAGCCCCCTGAGCTCCTGCTGCCCACTGTGCTGGCCTGGCCCCGGTCCTGACGCGGACACAGCCAACCGAACGTCAGAGACTCAGACGCTCCCAGTGTGCCAGGCACCGTGCGGATGTTTATCCTCACGAGCAGGCGCGATCCTCATCTGAACCTGACAGCAGGGAACCCCGAGAGGTGCCCCGAGCCAGGCTCAGCGCCCCTGCCACATGGGCTCCCACAGCCAGCCAATGACAGCTTCCCCTTCTGCATCGCTACGGCTACACCGAGTGCAGCATCCTCAGCCTGATGCAGCGACGGCTCACCTCCTGCCACGTGTACCCCCGACTCTCCATCCTGCCCTCGGAGGTGACCTGTGCTCAACACGACAAAGACTTCGCCATCTTCCGTCCTGAATGCTGCGGTCTGCACCCCGGACGCCCCTGTGACCATGCGCTCTCTGAGCCACCACCCCCAAATATGTCCAGTTCGCACTAAAATTCCATAGTTGCCGCCCAGCAGGTGTGGCTCAGTGGTTGAGCGTCGACCCTGCACCAAGAGGTCGCCAGTTCAATTCCCGGTCAGGACACATGCCCAGGTTGTGGGCCCGATCCCCAGTGGGGGCGTGCAGGAGGCGGCCAGTCGATGTTCTCTCTCGTCGATGTTTCTATTTCTCCCTCCTTTTCCCTCCCTCTCTCTCTACAATCAATTAAAACATAGTTGAAGAAAAATTCCATGGCTCCCCCAGAAATGAGCGGGCCTCCAAGACGGGCAGCAGCCCCCACGCGCTGTCTGTGTGCTCACCTCGGAATCGCCTTTGACGCTGCCACGTTCCCGGGCCGAAGAGATGTAAGGGACTGGCAGAGAGAAAGGAAAAGGGTGTTTCGAGTGTTGCCGGGAGGAGGCCCAGATGCCAGGACTGAGCCAGCAGCGTCGGGCACACACGTGCAGCGGGCACACCCGGCCCAACGACTCTTAAGAAAATGCAGCCTTCTGGGCCCCGCCCAGACCTGCCGACTCTGGGCATCTGGGAACCCGCATTTGTGACAGGTTTCCCCAAGGATTCACTTGGAGGAAACTAATCATATAAGATTTTGGTGTCTATCCTTCCAGTCTTTGTTCTTAGATGGACAGATGGACACATAGGTGGGAAGGTGCTAGGTGGATGGGGAGGTGGTGAATGAGTGGTGGACAGTAGATGGAGGCTGGGTGGGTGTGTGGATGGATGGATGAGTGTGGATGGATGGATGAGTGGATGGATGGATGAGTGGATGGGTGGGTGGGTGAATGGATGGGTGTATGGATGGGTAGGGGTATAGATGGATGGATGGATGGATGGATGGATGGATGGATGGATGGGTAGGTGTGTGGATGGATGGATGGATGGGTAGGTGTGTGGATGGATGGATGGATGGATGGATGGATGGATGGATGGATGGGTAGGTGTATAGATGGATGGATGGATGGATGGATGGATGGATGGATGGATAGGTGTGTGGATGGATGGATGGATGGATGGATGGATGGGTTGAATGGGTGGATGGATGGGTGGGTGGTGGATAGATGAATGGATGGATGGATGGGAGGATGGATGGATGGATGAGTGGGTGGGTGGGTGAGTGGATGGTGGGTGGGTGGTGGATAGATGGATGGATGGATGAGTGAATGGTTGGGTGGTGGATAGTAGATGGTGGCTGGGTGGGTATGTAGATAAATGGATGGACTGGTGGGTGAGTGGATGACAGATGGGTGATGAATGAGTGGGTGGATGTGTGGATGGATAATTGTGTGGTAGGAGTCTCCTTTGTGTGAGGTGCGATGCTAAGAGCTTTCTGTGCCCTGGTCTCATTCCATCCTTCAAGGGCTCCTGGGATGGGACTCACATTTATCAAGTCAGGGCTACGGAATCTCAAACACCCTTATAGTAGTCCACAGACTTTGGAAGCTCAGCGTTGGGCCACCAGTCACACTGGTTTTCAAAATCTTTCTCCAAATGCCTAGCATTAAAAAAATCTATCCCCATCAAAAAAAAAAATTCTACAAAACCCCAAGAACTATGCAACGGCTTGCCTTTCTCCCCATGGAGATCAGCTCTGTGCTGCAGCTGATTTATAGGAGGGACCGCATGGTGGCGGCTACCCTGGGTGCCTTCTAGAACTCCCCATGTAGTGCAGAGACCCCGGCCCTGGACTCCCATGGCAGCAACTCATGGAGACATGGCCCCAGGGCAGGCCACGCGCCCCACCCGTCTCTGCCTGGGGCTGAGGGGAGGCCCCGGAGAGCGTGTCCCCAGCCCCATTTATGGCGGCCATGCTGCCGACATGGCCCTGGGAGAGCAGGCGGGCTCTGGGAAGGACTCATGTCGGAAAGGGGAGGCAAGCAGGCCTTCCCGGGGAGCAGAGCCTGGGTCCATCCACGGGGAGGAAGCAGCCCTTACTGCCATCGGTCTCCTCGGAAGGGAGGTCCACGTCGTCATCCTTGTCATCTACTGCAGGCTCTTGGGAAGGCATGACAGAATCCTGTGGAGAGACGGGCGTTACAAGGTGACCCGCAGTGGAGCTGCTGGAGACACTACGTGACTTTGAAAATCACCGATTGAAACATACACATTTACACGTGTCACAACACACGTCTGCACACTGTTACCTTGTTGCCCTGAAGCTGCCTGCGATCCCACAGGCAGAGGTGCCCGCTCAGCGCCTCGCGGGACCTTTCCAGCAGGCACTTGACAACATGGCACTTTTACATAATGCCTGGTCACCCCCCAGCCCCCACTGCCATGCCTGCGCTTGTCAGTGCCAAGCAGGCTCTGAGCCCCACGTCCTGGCTCACGGGGTTCCACACACTGACGTCATAATGGAGGCAGCACCCCACTGGCGGTCCTATAGGCTCCAGCGTGGGTGTCCCTCAGCCCAATGACTTGTCTTTGCAGCTGGCCTCGTTCTGAGGCCACTGTGGACCTCGTGGGTCCCAGGGTATGGGCCTTGATGGTTTGGCAGCCATGAGTGAAAGGAATCCTTGCACCAGTCCATGTGGGGACCCCAGGTCCCCGCGCTCCAGCAGAATCGGGGTGAGACCAGGACGCAGACGGGCCAGCTGCCGGCACCTGCGCCAGCAGAGGCCTGGACGCTCAGTGAGGAAAAGCCAGTCCGCGGTGTCCTGAGGGCAGACGCCTGGCCACGGCCCTCGGTTGGTGGTGCACGGCACACGGCTGAGCTCTCGGCTTTCCGAGTGGCATGGCTTCCGCCTCCCCAGCTCCCACGCCTGAGTGGGCCGAGCTACAGCTCACCCCCCACGCCCAGTCCGGAGTGGCAGAGGGCACCGGACCCCTCAAGGGCATGGGGCTCTGGGGGCTCAGGAAAAGGGGTCCGGTCCCAGACTGCCGGCCGGGGCCGTGCTCACAGCCCTCCCCTCTGGCCCGCGCGGGGCACACTCACCATATGCCGTTTGCAGGTCAGCGGGACGAGCACGTGGCAGCGTTTATGGACCAGCAGTTTGCAGTTGATGCACCGGTAGCCCTGCCTCGCGAGGCCCCATATCCTTTCGCTGCACTGACCACAGTACGCTCTCTGCGGACGACAACAGCGCCATTGGGCTGGGGCCCAGGCGCGCCCCACGCGCCACTGAGGAGCCCAGAGAAGTGCTGGGCCAGATACGTCGTCACCGATTTTCTCAAAAGATGACGTGGCCCTGGCTGGTGTGGCTCGGCGGCGGGGAGGGTGGCCCACGGACCGAGGGGCTGTGGGTTTGATTCCTGGTCAAGGGCATGCATCTGGGTTGCAGGTTCCATGCCTGGCCCTGGTCGGGTCATGTGGGAGGCAACCAACTGATGTGTCTCTCACATCGATGTTTCTCTCTCTCTCTCCCTCCCTCTCTCCCACTCTGTTTAAAAATCAATGGAAAAATATCCTTAGGTGAGGATTAACCAAAAAAAAAAAGATGACATGGAGCCCTGGGTGCTGTGGCTCAGTGGTGAGCATCATCCCGTACACCGCAAGGCTGCCAGTTGGATTCTCAGTTAGGGCACATGCCTGGGGTTTTAGGCTTGATCCCTGGTCGGGGGCACGATCAATGTTCTGCTCTCACATTGATGTTTCTCTCTCTCCCCCTTCCTCTCTCTCTAACAAATAAAAAGATGACATGGAGCTGGGGCAAGAAGGGTCTGGTCACATCTGGGCACCAGGCCCTGCCTGGGCTCAGTAGCCTCCCACTCAGGTCCATCCCAAGTTGGGGGGAACCTGTGACCCCGAGTAGGGGTGGGGCCCTGCTCTGTGTGAGGAGCAGAGGGGAGGACTGTCGGGCAAGGGTGCCGAGAAAGGCCGTCACCTGGCAGGGAGCAGGGGCGTCGTGCTCCCCCAGACTGCGTGGAGCAGCTGCAGGCACCTGTCTGGGTGGAGCGACGCAGGCTGAGGAGCCCAGGGCGAGCCCCTGGTCCTCATCCAACATCTCACCCCCAGGACCGCGGTGGGGAAACAGACTCCGCCTGGCGTCTGACCTGGCATCACTCTGAACTCCGGCAGGGCAGCATGCAGTCAGCCGGGCAGTCTTTCCAGTATTTTTAGACTTTGAAAGACCCGTCGTTGTTCCTCACTGTCCTAAGCAACCTGGAGCTGATGGTAATTGCCAGCCTGCCCACCGACCCCGAGTTAGGTGAGTGAGAGGGCGGGAGGCCGGCTGCTCAGCGGGCTGGTCAGAGTCACCGCCACTCACGGGGCTTGATCCACGTCCGAGGCGCCTGGGTTTCCCAACTGGAATTCGTTTCCAGCCATAACTCATTTACATGTTTCAGTTCCCTTTAGCCGTTTTTAACACATTTCTTTCTTTTGAGAGAGCCTCAAATTCCTCCTGGAGACGAATAAAAAAGGGCACACCTGGCCCTGGCCGGTTTGGCTCAGCGGTTAGAGCGTTGGCCCACGGTCCCGAGAGACCCGCGTTCAGTTCCCGCTAAGGGCATGTACCTCGGTTGCAGTTTGTCCCCGGCCCTGGTTGGTTGTGTGGGTGGCAGCCACTCGATGTGTTCCTTTCACATCGATGTTTCTCTCTCTCTCTGTTCCTCCCTCTCCCTCCCACTCTACCTGAACAAAAAATGGAAAAATGTCCTCAGGTGAGGATAAAAAAAAGGGCACATCTGTACCAGTGGCCTAAACTGAGCTCATTTTTTTTTTTTTTTAATCCTCACCCGAGTACATTTTTTTCCATTTTTTGCACAGACAGAGTGGGAGGGAGAGAGAGAGAGAGAGAAACATCGACGTGAAAGGGACACATCGAGTGGCTGCCACCCACACGACCAACCAGGGCCGGGGACAAACTGCAACCGAGGTACGTGCCCTTAGCGGGAACCGAACCCGGGTCTCTCCAGACCGCAGGCCAACGCTCTAACCGCTGAGCCAAACCGGCCAGGGCTAAACTGAGCTCATTTAAGAAAACTGGTCAGCCCTGGCTGTTTTGGCTCAGTGGCTAGAGCATCGGCCCTAGGACCAAAGAGTCGCAGGTTCGATCTCAATCAACCTCAGTTGCAGTTCAGTCCCTGGCCCTGGTCAGGGTTGTGCATGAGGCAACCAATTGACGTGTCTCTCTCACATTGATGTTTCTCTCTCTCCCTCTCTCCCTCCCTCCCTATCTAAAGATAAATGAAAAATAAATATCCTCGGGTAAAGATTAAAAAAAAACAAACAGAAAACTGGTCCAATTCTACACCACGTGGTTCGGGGTGTGGCCGAGCGTGCACAGGATGTGCCTGCTCCATGGCCGACGGCCGAGAAGCCCAGTTCCCATTAGGGTGGGGACAGGGGATAGAGCAGGTGCCCTGCCAAGTCCCTGCTTCTCTGTGGGGAGGAAAACCCTTGGCCCACTGATTTTGGGGAGGGGGCAAGAGGGGCAGGCGGCAGGGAAGGAGGGATATCAGGGCCTGTACCCCACAATCAGAGAAAGGGGTTTTCCTCCTAAAACCTGGCCAACCTCGTAGGGTGGGTGGGCTTCACTTTGGACCAGTGATGCGGAAAGCGGGGTTCACTGAAAGCCAGTGTGGGGGCAGGGCTCCAGAACCCTTCCTCTTCTACCTGAAGGGACTGACGTTTGAGCCGAGACAGAAAGTACGGACAGTGTGGGCTCCAGGGCACAAGGCCGGGGGGCAGGCGGGCTGAGGCCTGCGGGTAGGCCTGCTGGCGCTGCACCGAGTCCAATGGTGTCACCCAAATTCACGCCCACCCACAACCTCGGGACGTGGCCTTTTTTGGAGACAGCATCTTTGTAGGGGTAGTCAGTTAAGTTAAAACAAGGCCCTAATCATGCCCGGTGTCCTGATGGGAGCAGACAGACAGGGAGGGACAGGGCAGGCGAGCACACAGGGAGAGGTTGGGGCGCGGCAGCCGCGGGCCCAGGAGCACCAGCACCACCAGCAGTTAGAAAGCGGCAGGAAAGGCCCTCCCAGACGGCCCGGCCGACACCTTGGCCTGGATGCCAGCCCCAGGCCCTGAGAGATCAGATCTGTTGTAAACACCCCGGTTTGCGGTGCTTTTTCCAGCAGCCCAGGACACTAATGGCCCTTGGTCACCGAGGCCCCTGCAGGCACCTTCCCTCCCACTGTGAGAGGGGACGGCACACAACGGCAGCCCAGGGGACCCGAGACACGGGCCGCCCTCATCACGCAGCGCCACGGGCAAAGGCCTGACCGGGGACGGCATGGGCTCGGGACGCCTTGGAAAGGCTCCTTCGTGATGGGGAGAAGGTGGGTCTGTAACCGGGCTCAGGACTGTCCCCGTGCTGTGTGTGTACAGAGCCCAGCCCGCTCCCTCCCCCTCCTCCCTCTCTGCTTTTAGAGCAGCACAGGGCACACGGCCCTCAGTACACGGCACACAGCCCTCGGCGCTCGGCACATGGCCCTCGGCCCACGGCATCCGTCAGCCCTGAGCCCACATCCCAAGGGGGCAGCACTCACCCTGTTAAAGCGCTTGGCTTGGAAGAGATGGCCGTTGGCGCGGTACAGCTTCCTCCATCTTCTGGCTCCACGGCGGTAGATGGATTCTGGAAAGGACATGACCAAGGTGTGAGGAACCAGCCCGAGGCCCGCGGCTGCTCCACACGAGGTCCTTTCGGGACAGGCTGCTCCTGCTGGGTGGCCGGGCCACAGGGCAGGCACGGGCACGACAGCGCCCGCCGCCCCCTCTGCTCCTCACATTGGTCCTCCTATCGCAGCCCCGCCGGGAGGACAGGGGGCCCCAGACAGCAGCCAGGGTGACTGTGAGGAAGGCCAGTCAGCCTGACCGCAGGGTCTGCCCGCCCGGCCCAGCCTCCCCCAGACACGAGAGCCCCAAGGGTCCCCAGCCCAGCAAATCTCGGGGCAGGAGGACCGCAAACAAACAGAACACGTATGTTGGACCCGTCACCAAATGCCACTTTCATGACACGCACACGACCCTTCAAAGCCCCAGAAGGTGAGTGACAAACCCTCCCCGGGCAGCCTCAGCACACCCCGACTTCGCGCCCTCAGCCCTCTGACACAGCGTGTGTGGGACGGCGTCTGCGGGACACAGGCAGCTTTGCGCCATCACAAAGTCCCTCAGCGAAGGCGACTCGGGGTCGTGGGCTGAAGACACCAACGTGGAAACTAACGGGAGGTTTTGAAACAAGCAAACGACGGCTCAGGCTGGGACCTGCCGGGATCGGGTCACAGCGCTTACAGAACCCGATTCTTCCCCTTTCATGGGAGACTCAGCCTGAAGCCACAGGTCGGGGGTCCTCGGGAGCAGGAGCCCACAGCCGGCGGGGAGGCTGCGTGGCCTGGCCACCCCAGAGGGTTCCACGCCCAGGCGAGAACAGGGCCAGGCTGGGGGCACAGCCAGGGCCCACTCCCTAGCTGGGGCTCATACCTCGGGCTCGGGCTCAGCCTGGTGACCCCCCAGGGCCTCTGCCCAGAGGACAGGGTGCATCCTGGCTTGTTCTGGGGGAAACCTGACCCACGCGGGTCCGTGCGAACGTCCTGAGAAGTGACCGTGCCCATGTTAGCATTCACGGCCCCTGGCCACCCGTCCCCACAGGCGTGGAGTGACAGAGAGAGACGGGGCACAGAGAGAGCGATGACAGGGGGAGCTGAGCTGCCCAGATGGGGCACACCCGCACCCACGGTCGGCCCCTTTCTTCTGCCCCCACGACCAACCGAAATTCCTTCAAATTCGAGTAAAGCCGCGTGGAACAGAAACCTGACCATTCTGGGAGGGGCCGAGGGCACTAGGGAGCCCACAGCAGGCTGGGCAAAGCGAGGGGACGAGGCAGAGAGCCCGGGTGACGCCCACAGGCGTGGACCAGGAGGGACCGGAGACGGGCACCATGGCAGACCCGGTGTCCACAGTGAGGAGTCTGGATCCCTGCCGTGGGGGCTGGATGTCTGCGTCCCCCAAATCCCTACGCTGATGCCCCGAGCCCGCGGGCAGCTGCAGTTGGAGACGGGGCCTCCGGGGAGTAGTGAGGGTGGGTGAGGCCACACGGACAGCATGACGGGACCAGTGTCTGCAGAGCACGGACCGGAGCAGGGTCTGCTGTGGCCCGTCCCAGGGTTCGGCGATGTGGTTGAGACATCCACGGGGTCTGGAACACGTCCCCCAGGGATTAGGGGCGTGACTATACAGGGTCCCCGTGGACCCCGCCCCCCCGCACATCTCAGGCACAGTTAACGGGCCGACATAGCCACGTGGTCGCCCCCCGAGTTATTCCCGCTCCCGTAGCGTTTCCCTGACGGCCTCTCCCGACCGAGGCTGCCCAGACCCCACACTGTCTCTTGTCAATCTGTGGGCTCCTCCGGGCCGCGGCGGTTCCTCAGACATCCCTGGGGTTCTCAGGATGTGGGTCAGGCGTGCTCAGACACGCCTCTCTGGGTCGGCCTGGCGTTTCTTTCAGGGCACCGCCTGGGTTCCCACCCCCCCACCTTCCTGGAAAAACACCATCCCCACAATGGCAGCCACTAACCCCAAACCGGTCGAACTTCGGGCTCTTTGCTAGGAGATCCCCGCATGCAGGGCTGCCTGGACACAGCTGGACGGAGACCCCGCTCCCTGAACCCAAGCTCAAGGGGGACCCTGAGGTGCCCTCCCGTCACAGGCCAGCACCATGAGCCTCCAGGGCTTCTGCTCAGGAGTCACAGCCTATCCCTGACCTGACGGGACAGCCTCAGGGATCAAAGAAAGGACAGTGTCCAGAGAGGACGTGTATGCGGAACGCTTCCGGGGGTGGGCGCCCCAGGGACAGCCTGGCCAGGTGGCTGCGTGCCCCGTGTCCACCTTCCCCCTGGACGGATCTCCATGGAGGAGACACTGTGGCTAACGGGCCACAGACAAGGTGAGAGGAAAGGGCCGTGGAAATGGGGCGTGATGGGGGGACCGCCCGCTCCGCCTCGGCCTGGGGCAGCTCCGGCCGCTCCCTGCACACACGTCCTGTGGGGTCCACCTTGGCCCCGAGCGGCACTCGCTGGGAGCTGCTGGACGGCGGGTGGCCGAGGCCTGGGGCTGCGGCAGCTGTCGGTGCTGCTCCCTCTCAGCCTCCGCCCCGTGCCCCTCCAAAGTGGCTCTTCACTCAGCTGAAACTCTATAATTAGGACGCTGCAGGGAATTTTAACCAGCCGTTCCCATGGCAATCTGGCATCTTGACGGCTCTGACAAGGCGAAGAAAATACACTGAAAAGCGAACCGAGAGCAACAGGCCGCGAAGCGAACTGCACGTCCCCCGGGTTTGGGGGGGCGCACGTGGCTGTGCCATCTTCCAGAGCGGGGATGGCGGTCGAGGCCTCCCGCTCACTGTAAACGGACCGCAGCCGGGACCAGCCCAGCCGGCTTCGCAGCCTGGAGACAGTGCCCAGCAAGGCCGCGGAGCCGGGAGGAGCCCTTGGACTGGGGGGGGGGGGGGGGCAGTGCAGCCACGTGGGGCCAGCCTCCTCTTGGGGAGCACCTTCCAAGAGATTCTGTACCCCAGGAGGGTAGGGCCACCCGCCTTTCTTGCCAGGTGTCCCTAGGACGAGGCGCAATGTTAGCTCATCCTACGCAACCATCTCACCAAAAATAGTGACAATTTAGGCCACGTTTCCGGGGCCAAAATGTCCCGGTCACCGGGTCATGGAGGCTGCCTGTAAGGACATGGGTGCAAGGACACAGGAGGGGGGCCGTCTGTCCTTTCGGGGGCTGCGCTGGCTGTCCCCTCGCTGCCTAATACTGTTGGTCACCGTCACAAAGACCAACCCTAGAAGATGTTTTCAGAGGAAGGGGCTGTTCATAACAGTTCGACTTTCTAGTCGTTTTTACCGCAGAGAAGCTAACTGGTCACGGTGTGGACTGCATCCTGCCGAGCGGCCGACCAGGGTGCCCACAAAGACTCCACAGGGAGATGTCTTCCCACTTCCAAGGGACTGTTGTGAACAGTCACACGGATGGAGCTCGTTCCCACGTGGAGATGCCTTGATTTACTTCAATACACTAAGTGCTCTGAGCTGGGCACTGCCCGCCTGGCCGACAGGACCACGTGTGCCAGACCACACGCTGAAGGACACGCGGACCAGACACCACACGCGCGAATGGGCTCCAGCGTCCGCCCAGCCCTGCTTCCCAGAGCAGTCACTAAACCCCGCGAAAACAGTGTCCGGGCATCTCGGACCTACACGAGAGTCAGAACAGGAGAAGATGCCAGGGGAGGGACAGGTCGCCAGGGCGCTGGCTGATCCCTGGAGCTGGGCAGGTGTTGCTGAAGGGGTGCCATCTGGGCTCACCCCCAACACCAGGCTCTCAAAGGCTTGGTTCCAGTAAAACGTCAGACTAGAGCCTGGATTCTGACTTGTGACAGGGGTTTCATCTATGAAAGAATTGTGTCTGCCCCGGCCGGTGTGGCTCAGTGGACTGAGCATCGTCCCCTGGACTGAGAGGTCCCAGTTCCATCCCCGGTCAGGGCACATGCCCAGGTAGTGGGCTCGATCCCCAGTAGGGGGCGTGCAGGAGGCAGCCGATGTTTTTCTCTCACATCCAAGTTTCTATCACTCTCTCTCTAAAAATAAAATCAATAAAAACATGTTTTATTTTATTTTTACTTCTTTAATCCTTACCCGAGGATATTTTCCCATTGACTCTCAGACAGAGTGGGAGGGAGACAGAGAGAGTGAAAAAAACATCGACATGAGAGAGACACATCGACTGGTTGCCTCCCGCACAACCTGATCAGGGCCGGGGACGAACCACAACTGAGGTACATGCCCTTGACCGGAATCAAACCCGCGACTCACTGGTCCACGGGCCGACGCTTTACCGCTGCACCAAACTGGCCAGGGCTAAAAACATTTAAAAAAAACCTGTCAGGCAGGCCAAGAAATAGACACATACGACGGAACAGCCAATAGAAGCGGACACTCAGGTGATTCAGATACTCAGTCTATTTTCAAAGACAGATACATGAGAGAATGTCACCGCTGAAAAAAAAAAGAATCAAACTCTAAAATTCCTGGTTTAGAAATCCTAAGTGTGAAAGGACAAGAACGGAAATTAGTCGTTCCGGCAGTAGATTCGAAAGCGGCCTGGCGTGGCCCTGTTGGCTGGGCGTCACCCTGTGCACGGAGAGGTCGCCCGTTTGATTCCCGATCAGAGCACGTGCCCGGGTTGCAGGCTGATCCCCGGGACGGGGGGCTCAGGAGGCAGCCGATCCATACTTCTCTCGCATTGGTGTTTCTCTCTCTCCTTCTCCCTTCCTCTCTCTTTAAATATCAATAAAAAAAATTTTTTTTGGAAAAAGCAGATTAGACGAACGAGAGAGAGCAGTGGGAGGGACCCGGCTGAGGACACGGGAAAAGCGGGAGAGACCGAAGGGCCGACGGGAAAGGATGCAAAGGTGTGGACACGGCCTGGGAGCGAGGGGGCGTGAACAGGCCCGTCTCGGAAAAGACACCGGCTGATCTTTTGCAAAAGAGACACAGACCTTCTGCCCCAGATCCAAACAGCCTGACAGACCCAGGTCGGGACAAGTTCAGCATTTCCCCCGCTTCTTCGAGGCTGCCGGAA